CTCATCCAAAGTAATAAAATGATTGGGCTCCAATACAGCTCTAAAAAAAGAGTCTTGCACAAATCTTTTCTAACATTTACAAAACTCCTGAGGCACAAAATTTGACATATGAAGAGATAATATCATATATCAGAATCAACTTTCCCTTGCACCATGTCAAAAGCAAAGTTTAACAGAGTTAAGGCCACATTTGAGCTTTACAGTCATATTTTGTCCCAGAATTGTAACTCAGTTTTCTGCAACCTACAACAGTTGCACATTCCATGTTGCTAGATTAAAAGCTGCTTAGAAGGCTTGGGGAGCATACAGAATAGAACTAAGCACCTTTGAAATTTTCATCATGAAGATAATTCTTGGGAAGAGGTATTACATTAACAATTATCGTAGGGATAGGAATTGTTGGGCCTTCCAGATTTTTGATTGAATGTCCCGGAAGCCCACATCAACACAGCCAATTGCAAGCAACACTGGGCTATACCTTTTGCAGCAGGATGGGGGTGGGTGGGGGTGTTTTAATGGCCTTGAGATTGTTTCATTTCAGTCAACAAAAATGCTTTTCCTTATCTTTTTCCCTCTTCCTAAATATTATACTGTTGGCCCTCCACATCTGAGGGTTTGATTTTTGCAGATCTGATTTTTCACAGATATGATTAAAATATTCACTATAGGAATTACTAGGTTCTCCAGTATATGGTCAACATCTGCTGGATGTTCACCACACAGTCAAGCTGGAAAATGTAGAGATCCCTAGAAATTGCTAGAGAGGTGATCTCTTAGATTAAAAAAAATTCAGATTTTTTATTCATAATTTCCCCCACTTTCATGGGTTTGGAATACGGATGACTGAGTGTATTCTAGCTGCAAAATAGAGAGTACTGGAAATTAAGCCAATTGTATTTTCTCCTTCTGTTTACGAATGCTTCACTTGTTGCTTGTCTTTAAAAAGCCATAAAAAATTAATTCAAGTCCCCTGACTTTCACTAAAATCATTTAAATCAATGTATTTTGACAATTGACTTTTATCATCCTGCTCTTTATTAATTCATGAGTTAATAACACATCAGCAATTAAAATTAAACAGTCATAATAAAAAATGTGCTTCAAAAGGCCTCACTCTTATTCTATCTCAGCTAGGAAAAGGAAGCACTCTGCCTGAGGATTGCAATATACCAAATTAGTGAAAGAAAACAGAGTCCCCGATTTCTTAGTCATGGGTTATCTATACATTCTGTCACTTTCTAATGATATAAACATACATCTGTTGTAGTTGGCCCCTGCTTATTCTGTGGTGTCATCATGTTGACATATTATGTGACCATTTCTGACAAACTTGAGAATTACTGTGTTTGTGTATAGTCCTACTTTTTTGCCCAGCTCCATTCCCTAGACTGGAGACTGTGATTCAAATTCTGTTTCTTTTCAAAATCCACAACTGTGAACGGGAAGAAATTAATGCTAAGGTGTCTATGATTAGGTCCTTGCATTTCTATTACTACTTTTGCATGATTCCGACACGTTAGCATTTTAGCTGTTGAGCTACAACCTCTGACAGTCTGCAGGTAAACGAGGTACTTGTAAAATAGTTCAAGACCCCAATGTTAAGTAATGTGAAGCACAAATCATTTTATTCATCTCGTCTAAGAAAGACACTGTGTAATGTAATGCAGAAAGGAGCATTTATTTATTTATTTATTTATTATTTCATACACTTCTTCTTTATGCCAAGCTAAGGAATATCAAATGATTCCTAACCTTTTATTTTGTGGTAAAACTCACACTGCTGGATACCTATGAGGTTGTTTTATGCATAAGAAGAAACAGTAACCCTTTTGAGAATGTGCCTATGCATTACGATGCGGCCCCCTCTGCAGTACTGGAGCCTGCAGCTATCGGCACTCCCACTGGGAAGCCTAGGTTCAGCGTGGCCCAGGGAGCAGCTGCTACAGAGAGAAAATTTACAAGGGAAGGGAGCAGTTTAAGTATAACTTTCAGAAATCAAGGGACAGCAGCCTCAGGTCAGAGGGTACATTTTAAAAGGAGGCCTCCCAGGAGAGCACAGAGAAGGGGGTGTGATTAGTTCTGGAGAAAAAAATGGTTTCTTGATTTATTTTAAAAATTAATTTGATGGCTCCATGCTAATAAAAACACAAGCAAACACCTGCCACTTCGATTGTACCAGATAGTGACACTCACCACCTACTTCTACTGTACACATAAACCTTTTGTTATCTTTCAGGAAGAGGATTTTAACTTAATAGATTCTACATGGCAGTGGGTTCAAAGCTGCAGATTAGCTGCAGAGGCTCTTGCTTAGATCTAGGCTTGCTACTCTGATCCCAGTAGGCTTGAAATTGCCCTTGGCAATTTCCACCCCCACTTTTTCAAATCCAATCTGAATAGACCAATTTGAATAGGAAATGAAATGTGGCTCCAGAGAGACAATGGTTTACTGTAAAGTTTTTGCTGCCATGTGTGACATTAAAAATCTGCAGCCGCATGTAACCAACCCTAATCTGTAATGAAGAGCTATAAAGAACACCCACGTGGGCAACTTGATATTATAGACTAATTGAAGCAAGGGACAATGTTCCTCAACAAAATTCAAGAGAGTTCTCAGAGGGAGAAAAACCATTTTAATCCACTGTATTTTACTTGGTCATAGTAGGTCTGAAGAAAAAAAGGTTTCCAAAACAAATCTCTGTTTTAACTACATTTATGTCTTATGCAAGTAAGAGACACAAAGACAAAAAACAAAGGATTTAAAGAAAGAGTAGGCAGAACCATATATCTAGACTTACATAACAATCAATTTCTGACCTTGGTCATGTCTTTCTCCTATTGGCACTTTCTCCATGTGCATAATGGGGATCAATTCACTAATGAAACTGGCTTCATGCATATTCTTTAAGAGCACTGAAATCAGTTTACACTTACTTTTCAAAAATGAAGTATTGGAAAGAAGGCAGTTGTGGGAAGCTCTTAGAGAGCTTACAATGCGTATTATGCCTCATCTACACAATTCTACTCAAAGGAAATGCAGCCATAAATGCTGACAAAGCATATATTCTTCCTGAAAAATGTGCACTCCCGGTGACAGGGTTAATGATGTTTGAGCAGCCTCTCACCCTGACCTGCCCCTCCACATATTCCAGCTTTAATGCACTTGCATGATTTCACCCTGCCCCCAAAGCAGAGGGTGGGGAGGAAAGTGGCCTCCACATCCAGTTATTTTCTACATGGTTGAACTCTCTGGTGCCAGGTTCAGTGCCTTACTGCAGAATGGAATGCATTAAGTGTGCAGTGTGCAAATCCCATGAGGGATGGAATAGTTTATTTGCCAGGGGTTAAGGCAAAATGACAGCTTTCCTCCTCCTCTAGGCTTTTTCACAGCAATGTTTCCAGGTCTGAAATAATGAACAGGCCACCCCCCCACCCCACCCGCCTTCTGCAATTCAGTACTCTTCTGTGATGATACTGAATTGTAAAATTGTCACAGAAGTAATAATTCAGTCTTATACAAGTTTCTAAATTTGCTACAATCCTTTTCATCTTTCCACGTAGAGCTACCATTGTTTAAAAAACTCATCCCTAGAGCTAGGGCAATGTCGCTAGAGCTAATATATTCTTCTGAAAAATTCCTTCCTTTCAGCTGCTCCTAAATTATTTTTTCTGTTCCTTTTAGACTTTGCTTTTTTCTTATTACAAGTATAAAGAATCCAAATCCTTTACATTTTGTTTTAAAAGTGAAAGACCGTGAACCAGATAGCCAAAGGAATAAAGAATCACCATGTACGAAGTACAGTTCTCACTGAGGTGCTAAAGGTGAGCTTTTATTTCACAATCTCTGACTGCATGAGAGGATTCATATGAGTGACTATTCCTATGCAGGCAGTCTCCGATTTAAGAACATCAGACTTATTAACAATTCAACAAACGGGCCTCTCCCCTCCCTTCGTGTCGTGAAATCTTAGTGCTGAGCCAAAGCATGTGTGTATCCTCCCACCCTCTTTCCTTCTTCTTCCTATCTATATCTCTCCAAATGTATTTTCCCTTTTCTTCCTGTGGATCTCCCCAAATTCTTTCCCTTGTTCTTTTGATCAATCTCTCCAAACTAATTTTCCTCTTTCTTCCTATCCATACCTTACCAAATCCCTTCTCCTTTTTTTTCCTATTGATCTCTCCAAACCCTCTTCTCCGTTATCTATTTCTGTGGTTTTCCTTTCCATTGATTGGAACCTTTGGTGTTTTTTAAAAAGGGATTATAATCACACAGGAACTATAATGTGCACCTTTTTTGGTCAAATTACAAAGAGTGCACTTCTTGCTGGACCTGTTCCAACTCACAAACAAATTAAACTTATAGTACCCATCTTGTTTGTAACTTGGGGACTTCATCTTACTAGGAAAAACTGGATGCCAGCCAGATAAATTCCAGCTCAGTCTTTTCAGTGATTTGTAGAATTCCTTGTGCAGTCTAAAGTGATATATTCAGGCTAATTTTTCTTTGTGGTGAGAATGAAGCTTAAGATTATATATAACCTATTTCTCAGGACATTAGAGAATAGCTTGTGTCTTTCTGGACACTGTTGGACTACAATTCTTGTTATTATTAATCACTGGCAATTGGGCTGGCAGAGTTATAGTATAACAACATTTGGAGAACCATGGGTTTCCCAGTGTCTTTTTAGGAGCAGTTCTATTTATTGAACACTAAGAAATGCTATCAAAAAATATATAACTGGAAGGAGAGCAGGGAATCTATGATAAATAAATAATTCAGAACTCAGCTGCATTTACCTACCTCAGTAATAATCATTACAATCTGACTTCGTAACACAAGCTTTCAAAATCTATAAACAGGATCTAGAGCTTAACTAATGATACTAGAGAGTCACATCCTCAATTCACCAATAGGTTTCATGAAAACAAAATAAAAAGAATATCACTGCTGTAAACATTCGCTCATCTTTTATAGCAGTGCTTTTGCCCTGTAACCTTACCTTTTTGGAGACTGTGGAGACATTCAAGCCAAATCTCTGAGCCCTTTCCTTTAATTTGTCTATATTTACCTAGAAAAGTCACAGGAAATAGTTTAATATAATCTCTAGTTATATTACTGAGATTAGGAAAACTACAATACAGTAAGTGTTCATATGAACACATGAACGAACTTGAAACTGAAGGTTGGTATGAACAAATTTGTTATACCCTAATAGAAAAACTTTGCAGATATCAAAATTCTGTATATAACAATCCTTTTGCCAATTTTGGAGTGGCAGGAGAACTGAGAGATGGCATCCAGTGATGCAATACTTTACTACAAGTTACTCTAAGAAAGGTTTGTGCTAACTTTAAGAAGATTAAAGATTAAGAAGATTAAAGGCAATTCCGACGGTGAAACCCAATAGAGTCGATGCAGTGAATCAATGAGAATCTGATAAACATTCACATAAAATGTCATTAACTCAATTAATCTCAGCATTCAATACATGAACTTTTAAAACATTATATTTTGCTGCTCAACCCACTATACAGCAAAGGACAACTACAAGTAAAACTGAGCCTAATGACGCAACTGGACTCCAGCTGAAAGGATGTTCAGCAGTTGATGTGTTCAGGGGCAGAAGAAAAATCTGAAGCTGCACAACAGATATTGTAGTGATATGGAGGGTAAGAAGCATGAAAAAGGGGAAGTTAGATACATTATTTAACAAATGGAACATATAAACATTGCAGTACTTGTGAGTAAACTAAAGAGGACATTTTTGAGTAATAAATACAGTTTTACTCAGAAAATAAATGTCTAAGAAGAAACAAGCTGCTATTGTTAATTAGGAGACGTGGAGCAAAAGCGATCGTAGGATATGCAGTGGGCCACTACTATGTCCTGGGACATGCTTTTGGGACCACCACAGATACCAAAATCTTATGGATGCTCAGGCCTCATTATATACAATGGTGTAGTAAAATGGTGTCCCTTATATAAATGACAATATTCCTGCTTCTTGGCAGGGGGTTGGACTGGATGGCCCATGAGGTCTCTTCCAACTCTTTGATTCTATGATTCTATGACAAAATCAAGGGGTTTTTTTTTGGGGGGGGGGTATTTTCAAGCTTTAGGTTCTGGAATCGGAGGGTGAAGAATCTGTGGCCACAGAAGAGCCAAATATAATGCAAAGTTTGACTGAATCATATCAGTACACTACAGGGAAAACTCATCAATATAATATTAATCCAAGTTTATGTATCAACCGCAGAGGCAGAATACACTGAAATATTTTAGGCCAGGAGGAACTTAACTATACATCTAAACAAGACTTCTTGTTAAGCATTGTCACTTAAAAGGCAAAATTGGGAAACATAGTAGAATCAAAAATGCAGGAGAGCAAATGGCTGAATTTTGCATTGAAAACAATTTGGTTATTGCAAATACAATCTTTAAGCAACCCAAAACACATGCTCACAGATTGGACATGTTCAACAAAACATTCACCCCCCCCCCCCACCCCCAAAAAGGAATTAGGGATTATAGTATCCCCAGGACTATTGCATTAATCTTCCATGAAAGCAAAGTTATGTTTTCATGGGGGATTCTACAACACACATTTCTGGTGCATATGGAGTGAGAAATGCCAATGGTCAAGCTTGCATCAGGGAAAGAAGAGGCACTAGGAATCATATTGCAAAGACTTGTTAGATAATAGAGCAAATGAGCTTTTCAGATGGAAACCAGCATTTTGATAGTATATATTATGAAAAATTATGTTTCCATCTTGAAGACATGACTGTGCCACAACATTTAATGGAAAGACAAATTAATGGTTACTATGGCAAATAAAACCTGAAGTCTCTCTTGAAGCCAAGATGACTAAATTGAGCCTGTTGTACTTTGGAGATATGATGAAAAAACATGACTCACTAAAAAGACCATCATACTTGTTAAAGTAGAAGGTAGAAGGCAAATAGGAAGATGATCAATTGACTCAATTAAGGAAGCCACAGCCCTGAGTAAGGCTGTTGATAGAATGATTTTAAGATGATGCATTCATAGGGTCACTGTCAGTGAAAGCCAGTAGTAGATACTGGCTTTCGGTGATACGGTGCCAGGACGCTGAGCCTCAACACTGGCACTTAACAACAATTCTATTTCGAATCCTCTATCAACAGCTACATATGCCATTAACATGAAAGACACTCAATTATCAAAATGAGGGAGAACTCTAAATGCCAGGACTGAAAACTATGAGGAGATGTTATATAAGATTATGCATCAAGTACATAAAATTTTACCTAAACTTACTCAAATTTTGGGGGGAATCTTCAGAAAAAGACAACTGTTGTTTATTCATTCAGTCGCTTCCAACTCTTCGTGGCCTCATGGACCAGCCCCCGCCAGAGCTGCCTTTTGGCTGTTGGCCACCCCAGCTCCTTCAAAGTTAATCCAGTCCCTTCAAGGATAACATCCATCCATCTTGCTCTTGGTCAGCCCCTCTTCTCTTTTCTTTCCATTTTCCCTAGCATCATTATATTCTCCAAGCTTTCCTCCTTCTCATGTGGCCAAAGTGCTTCATCTCTGCTTCCAATATCCTTCCCTCCAGTGAGCAGTTGGATTTTATTTCCTGTAGTATGGAATGGTTTGTCCTTCTTGAGGACCAAGGCACTCTCAGAATTTTCCTCCAGCACCACAGTTCAAAAGCATCTATATTTCTTCGCTCAGCCTTCCTTATGATCCAGTTCTTGAATCCTTAGGTTACTACAGGGAATAACACTGCTTTAACTATGCAGATCTTTGTTGCCAGTGTGATGTCTCTACTCTTCACTATTTTATCGAGACTAAAAAGACAATACCTTACAGAATTGATTTTTCCCCCTGAAAGCCTTCTTCCTCTGTAAGCAAAATACTCACTAGGAGACTAGAAGCACTCCCACGGGACGTGACAGATTGACTCCTTTGAAATAATCACTTAAGAACATGACCAGCACCTTTCTCTTGACAAACTGCAATCATACTAATGTGGGGAGCATCACACAACATATAGTGGCAGTTGACAAGATTACTTCTTTTAAAATAGAATCCAGCAACCACGGCTCTTACAGCAGTGGCATTCCAAAAGTTTTTCACTGATAAAATCACCGTGCTTCAGCAGGAACTGCCCCCTACAATCGATACCTTGAGTGAGCTCGAGACTTTGTGGCAGCTTAGTGGGCCTATCTTCGACCGATTTACTCTGCTTGACAGGTAAGATGTCGCCAGAATCCTGGCTGCTGCAAAACCAACCACCTGTTCCTTTGATCCGTGTCCCTCTTGGCTGGTTAAGAGCTGCATGGAAGGTCTACTCAATCCGTTGAGTAATATAATCAATGGCTCTCTTGAACAACCTAAAAGAGGCAAGGGTTCGTCCCTTGCTAAAGAAGCCTAGCTTGGATCCCATGACCCTTGCCAATTATCGTCCTGTCTCTAACCTTCCATTCTTAGGTAAGATGATAGAGCGGGCTGTACTGGGACAAATGCAACAATTTTTGGATGATACAGCCAGCCTGGACCCTTTCCAGTCAGGTTTCCGCCCTGGCCATGGGACGGAGACAGTCCTGGTTGCCACTGCAGATTAACTTCGTCACCAGTCTGATAGCGGCGGATAGGCGCTACTGCTACTTCTCGACCTTACCGCAGCGTTTGACATCTCTTTGTATGGTTCATAATAATTTGGCCCAGATTTAATTTGGTTAGAAAACTTAAAATGTCAGGCATTTTCTAATGATTTTGCCCAATTTCTACCCAAGTAATATGAAGCATCTTCAGTGGAGGAATAGTTGACAATCACTAAATACAATATGTAGAATAGGGACGAAAATTGTATGACTTCCAAATGCTGTTGAACTACATGTCTGATCAGCTCTAGCGAGCACAGCCCATGGTGATAAATGTGGGGAAACAAAGTCTAATTCCACCTGGAGGACATTATTTCATTTTGGGATAAAAAATTATATTAGAGGGAATTTTAGGTGGAGATCTGCTCCTCAATCTTCGTCAAGGAGAAGTAGATCAGGTGGGGATCTACTTCTTCTTGACAAATTACTTCTTAAACAAGGTGCATTTTAGAAGAGTGAAATTCATTATTTTAGATCTCAGAAATACAGGGTTAGTCAAAATGAATAGGCCAATAAGAAAATTAATTTTAGACGAATGTATGTTTATTGTAACCAAACTACAGCTACGTAGCGACAGATAAACTATCAAAGTTTTGTCTCACCTTCAGAGATGTTCGATATGGGCGCCCCGTGTGACACGGCAGATGTCCAAGTGATAGTCCAGTTCATTCCACATCCGTTGCAGCACATCCGACGTAATGGCATCGAATGCAGCAACGTCTGGGAAGGTGTTCGTTGAGGTCCTAACCCTAACCCTAACCCTAACCCTAACCCTATCCCTAACCCCTAACCCTAACCCTAACCCTATCCCTAACCCTAACCCTAACCCTAACCCTAACCCTATACCCTAACCCTTGAAATTCTCGCTGGACCGTAATTACTGACATTGTTTTAGCAAATGTCATCACACAAAACGCCTTCTCTTTGCTTGATTCCGCCATTTTGAAAACAGCGACCCCTAGCGACGCCTAGCGGCATTAACGTACATGTGTGTTGCTCAAAAAAACTTTGATAGTTTATCTGTCGCTACGTAGCTGTGGTTTGGTTACAGTAAACATACATTCGTCTAAAATTAATTTTCTTATTGGCCTATTCATTTTGACTAACCCTGTACATTGGCGATATTAGTGTGACGCCAAGCTCTTCTCTCAGTATGTGTCTCAACAGTGCATTACAGGGGATTTGTGGAATATCTGCCCTTTTAGGAGTGAAGTTCCAATTCCAAAGAATTTACAACTTCACCAGGATAAATACATACAGATACACACACTGAAATTTCATTTTGGTTGGAAGTGAAGGATAAAATATTAAGCCTAAAGCATCACAGAAGCTCAAGTAATCATTTGAAGAGACACAGAGAGAATGAGAGCACAGCGTTCCTTCTGGGAGAAGTTTCCATAAAGAAGTAATAGAAAAAGAGATATATAAAGGAACATAAGATTTTTGTCTGGCTGAGCACCAGAGAATAGGAAATGAGATCGTCAAATAGAAAGACACATTAGCGGATAAGAGCAGATAGACAGTGTGAAAGAATTCTGTGAACCTTGATGACATCAACAAGAAATGAAGAGATTTGAGGAAGAAGTCATAAAAATGAATTATGAGAGAAAAAAGGGAATGAATTATTTTGGCAGAAGCTTTCTGGATAGATCAAAAGGACTGAGATATGACATGGCAAAATTAGATAGCAGCAACAGTCAATATCAGAGAGAACCAGAGTATAAAAGAGTGCTGTAGCTTGAGGGAAAAAACAATGAATAGATTGTAGATTGGAAAATACTGTACAGAAAAGAGCAAAATAAATATAGGGAACAAAGAAATGGCAGGAATAAAGACAGAGCCTATTGCTGGTTTAATACCTTTGAACTACTATGATAGAATCTGTAGCTTTGATGTCATCATTTGGGGGAAAACCAATTACCCCAACATATTTCCTAAGGCAATGAAATGACATTTGTAACAATGACATGAACAACATAAGGGACTTGAAATGTAAATCTAGTCTTCTATTCTATTCAGCATGAAATAATCACAATGTGAAGAGAAGAAGCAAATATCTTATTGGGAAATTGTGTGATTTAAGTAATTGCCCTGGCACTATGTTTATTTTAATCTTGAGCTGCGCACTCAGCAAAGAAAATTTTTCATAATATTAGTCATTCTTTTTTGTATGTGACAATATTTTAATTATCAATTTAAAAATGCAACTGTAAGAAAATTACTTACTGTAGTTTTACTTTCGTCACCAAGACCTAAAATATAGAGGAAAATGACAATTTAGAGCAAAGTTTTATCTGTCAAAACAGTGAAATAAAAATGTGGTAGAAACAAAAGTGACAGGCTATACCACACAGCATACAAGTTCAAAGGAGCAACAATGTATATTTTCAACCCTCTTTCTACAAAATGTTTGTGGGGAAAGAAACAAAAACATTCAAATAAAGAGAAAGATACAAGACAGTTGTTCTAGAATTTAATTCTATAATTCAGTAAAATACCTTTAGTTGAAGCCACAGACATACCAAACCTATAGAGAAAAGAAAAGATGTAGTTACATAGCCTGACATTTAAAAATGAAGTCACTACATGAAGTTGAAAATAGTTTCAATATATGATGGTTATTTAATTCCCTTGTAAATGTGCAAAGGAAAAAGCTGAAGGAATGGATGAATCAGATTAGCAAATAATGATGGATTCACATTGCAGATCTGTTATTGCAGATCTGTTATTCACAATATCACTACCAATCCAGTAGGACAGGTAGGGCATATTTTGGGGGCATATTATTTACAGTTCCATAGTCTTTACTTAATTTTATTCTCTTTACAGCCAAAAAATATTACGTCTGCTACAAGTAGGCTGGAATTGGTCTCTATTGAGGTGATATTGGACTGGAACATGAGCCAACATGGTCAATGGTCTAGGATGATGGGAGCTGTAATGTAACACTTGGAATGTGATAGATAATTTACCTGCATCTTAAAAAAGGGATCAGAATTGTTTTTATTGACAGCATACTGAAGTAGCAGATCAATAGTTGCCACATGATTAAAATGTTATTTAAGGTTCAAAAAGTGCCCACAGCTTTCTGCAATGCAGTGGCCACACACTGTTAGCTACAACTCCATCCATCCTCCATCTATGTTGTCCCAGTTAAGTAGTATGCAGGAGTTTCAAGACTCATCCATAATAAACAACCACCCATACAATAACTAAGAATCATCAAGGAATTTTAATATTACAAATATAGGCTTACCGAGCAGCTCGGGCAGCCTTCTTGCTCTCCAAACTCACAGGAACATTAAATCTCTCTGCCCGTTTTTGCATTCTCTAAAGCAGAATAAAAAGTAGACAAGTGTACACATGTAAAAATCTAAGCACTGCAAAAATATACCTTTAGCTTCAGATTTAACAGCCATGATCAGTATATCTCTGTTAGCTCCATACATGAAAGGAATAATTTTCATTCCCGTCTGTGTCAAATATTCCTGGGTATTCCAAGATTTGAACAATAAAAGTGCCCAAAGAGTTTAGTAGGTATACTAGTCACATACGAGTTCTGGAGATGAGATAGTCAGATTCTATACACAAAACAGTTATGGTGATATAGATAATGAACTAAGGCCCACACGTCCCATTGAAATACTGGTAAGTTTATGTTGGTTAAAATTGTTCTTCACTTTAAATGTTGTATTGTTCTTTCATGCATTTTTGCACGACAAATAAGATATTTGCAGTGTGCATAGGGATTCATTCATGTTTTTTTCAAACTATAATCCGGTCCCCCTGTTGAGAGGCAGTGAACTGGGCCTGTGTTTAAAAAGTTTGAGGACCCCTGCTCTAGGAATTAGACATTCTCAGAAAGAAGTATAAGCAAATTTCAGGAGTCTCTATATTGTTAAAATCTTTCACTTCATCTTCATATATAAAGACTAAAAGACCTGACTCAAAGAATCCAAAGACAGTTCCACATTATATAGGCCTTGTACAGTGATACAGATTATGGCATAGAATTACAGAGTGAAGGAAGTTGTTCCTAATGTTTAGGTGGTATCTCTTTTCCTGCAATTTGAATCAATTACTCCATGTTCTAGCCTCCAGAGCAGCAGAAAACAACCTTGGCTCCTCCTCAATATAACATCCTTTCAAATATTTCAACATGGCTATCAGATCCTCTCTCAGCTGTTTCTCCAAGGCTAAACATACCGAGCTCCCTCATCCATTTCTCATAGAACTTGGTTTATACCAGGGGTTCTCAAACTTTTTCAGTCGTGGAGCCCTAAGAAAAATTTGTTGTGGTTCATTTATTCAGTGGTTTCGTGACCTCATGAATCAGCCCATGCCAGAGCTCCCTGACAACCATTGACAGCCCTAGCTCCTTCAGGGAGAAGCCAGTCACTTCAAGGATACCGCGCATCCATCTTGCCCTTGGTCGGCCCCTCTTCCTTTTTCCTTCCATTTTCCCCAGCATCATTATCTTCTCCAAGCTTTCCTGTCTTCTCATTACGTGGCCAAAGTACTTCATCTTTGCCTCTAATATCCTTTCCGCCAGTGAGCAGTTGGTTTTATTTCCTGAAGTATGGACTGGTTTGATCTTCTTGTGGACCAGGGTACTCTCAGATTTTTACTCCAGCACCACAGTTCAAAAGTATCTATCTTCCTTCACTCAGCCTTCCTTATGGTCCAGCTCTCACATCCATAGGTTACTACAGGGAATACCATTGCTTTAACTGTGTGGATCTTCGTTGCCAGTTTGATGTTTCTAATCTTCACTATTTTATCGAGATTGGTCATTGCTCTCCTCCCAAGAAGTAAACGTCTTATGACGTCTTACGTCTTTCCTGGCTGTAGTCTGCGTCTGCAGTAATCTTCGCTCCTAAAAATACAAAGTATGTCACTGTCTCCATATTTTCTCCCTCTATTTCCCATCATGGTTGCCATCATCTTGGTTTCTTTTTTTATGTTTAACTGCAACCCAGCTTTTGCATTTTCTTCTTTCACCTTGGTTAGAAGGCTCCTCAGCTCCTCCTTGCTTTCAGCCATCAAAGTGGTATCTGCATATCTAAGGCTGTTAATATTTCGTCCATCAACGACGTATGTGTTCTGCATACAAGTTGAATAGGTAGGGTGAGAGTATACAGCCCTGCCATACTCCTTTTCCAATCTTGAACCAGTCTGTTGATCCCTTGTCTGTTCATACTGTTGCTACTTTGTCTTTATACAGATTTCTCAGGAGATAGACAAGGTGTCTTGGTATCCCCATGCCACTAAGAACTTACCACAATTTATTATGATCCACACAGTCAAAGGCTTTAGAATAGTCAATAAAACAGAAATAGATGTTTTTATGATACTCTCTGCCTTCCTCCATTATCCAACAGATATTGGAAATTTGGTCTCTCGTTCCTCTGCCTTTTCTAAACCCAGTGTGTACATCTGGCAGCTCTTGCTCCATGTATTTCTGGGGTCTACCTTGCAGGATCTTGAGCATTACCTTACTGGCTTGTGAAATAAGTGCCACTGTTCAAAGGTTTGTGCTATCTATCTATCTATCTATCTATCTATCTATCTACCTACCTACCTACCTACCTACCTACCTACCTATCTATCTATCTATCTATCTATCTATTTATCTATCTATCTATATTTATCTATCTATCTATCTATCTATCTATCTATCTATCTATCTATATATTATATTATATTATATTATATTATATTATATTATATTATATTATGTATATATATCATGCATGGACAAACTTTCTGATCAACATACATTTAACACTATTTCAGTAGAAGACCCCAGGGGCCTGCCAGTACAACCCACTTCTACCATGCAGGAAAAGCAACAATCAAAGCATCCCCAATACATGGGCATCCAGACTTTGTCAAAATAATAATAGTAATAGGGGCAACCCCAGAGGCCATCTAGTCCAACCCCCTTCTGCCAGACAGGAAAAAACATGATCAAAGCACCCCCTGAGTGGTGGGAGGGATATAGGGTTTTGGAAGTGAGGAAGGCATGGGGGAAAACATCTGCGTGGCGAGGAAAGTGAGGAAAAGGGCTTTTGGTGGCAAGGGAACTGGAGAAAAAAGACATTTTGGAGTGAGGGGGGAGGGGAGCAGGAAAGAGGAGGAAAAGCTGTGGAGGGGCAGGGGGAGGACACCACAGAGCCCCTCAGTATGCTTCGCAGAGCCCCAAGGGCTCTGCGGAGCACACTTTGAGAACTGCTGATCTATACAATGAAAAGCATGATCTGGATCATGCTGTTGAATGATTTTAGCTTTGGTTAAATCTCAAGCAGATCACTTTGCTTGCGTGGGAAATTAACACAATTGCCCTGTGGTTAATGAAATTCCCGATGTACCTTGAGGGGTTTGAGTTTTTTCCAATCTGTGGGCCATTGTTTTACAACTAAAGTAGATTCTGTCTCTGTATTGAATTATCATTTATTCCGGGTGATTTATTTCTCCTAAGGACTCCTAGTGAAGCTTCCATTTTACTTTCACAGCTTTATCTTTATATGTTTTTTAAAATGAATCTGTCACTCTTCTATATAGTTCTTCTATTGATTATGTTTCTATTTCTCCTTGGTCATGTAATATATTCTCCTCCCAGTAATACAGTATTCCCCACTCTAGGTTTAAACTCCCCTTTGATTTTTCTGATCTTGTGGAAGTAGTCTTTTATTCTTCATTTTTTTGGTCATAATTTTCTATTTCTCTGGATTGGTTATCATAGAAGTTTGCCTTGTCCCTGAGTGGAAGTCATTTAACAGTTGCATTTTAGGGCTGTGACTCTATTTTTATCACCTTTTGTTTTTGTTTCTTGTCTGTCTTTAATTGCTTGAATTTCATCTGTCATCCATTGATGCAATTTGGCTTTCTTTAATGCCCTTTTGCACTCCTCCCTAACAATGCTTCTGGCTTCAATTCACAGTCAATCTACCTCTTGGTCAGTTAGTGCAAATAACAAATTAGCATTATTAAGCTTATCTTTAAATAAACTAAGTGTTCTACAGTTACTGGTAGTAACCCAACATGTCATGAAAATGACTACATTTCATCCAACAATAAGTTTGTTTGGAAGATGCTGTTCATGTTTGTGGTGTAAAGAAGCAAGATGCCCAAAGAGGGAAATGCATTTAATACTGGCAAAATAAATACAGTAAATGCACATAACAAATAGAAATGAAAAATTAAAACATCTCAAGAAGGGAAAGAACTCTTAGTGGTTACTTATTTGCTTACGAGGCTTTATGAAAATGGCAGCATATTAATGGAAAACAAATACTTGATTGATCAATATACAGTGAATCAATGGAACTCATAAACACCCTGGATTTTCAATTCCTGAAAGCATTAAATTTGTTATTCTGTGTGATTTTCATTAAGCAATACAGGTTTTCTGCCCATTGAAATAAATTAAAATCCTTATAGCAGCTTTACTTGAAGATATAGCCTAATGATAGCTTATGTGACTTTTAGAAAGTTCTAGTGCAGAACCCTCAACACCAATGAAAATAAAAATCCAGTTTTTAAAAATATCTCTTAAGATTCCAGAGTCCTCATTTTTCTTTTTTCTCTTTTTATGTCAACAGAGACTAACATGGCTATCTCTTTAGAAATAAAACCCAGTATGCTTAGAATGTCACATCAGGTTCCTTCATACGTCAACTGAATCTAGAAAGCATTAGTATTTGGGGGTTTAAGTGATTAGTAAAACATCAAGTGGATTTTCGCAAGTATAGTGTTGGCAGAGCTGTTAAGTAAAACAGAGAAAGTGTGAAAAAGGACGTAAGTAAAATAATTCAATGATTTCTCAATGAAGACCTCCCACCAAGTTGGAAGGCGTCACTCGATAACAGTTCCATTTCAGATAATATTTATTGCTTCTGGTTACTTGCCCCACTAAAATAATAATCTGGGATTTGCGACAGCAGCCTTCAATAGCTGTGGTCAGCCTACAAAAAAAAGATTAGAACTTGGAGATGGCAGCTGAACAGCAGGGGAAAAGACTGTGTTTTCATATCAGCTTTCCCAATTATGGAGAGCTGAGTGGAAACTAACCAAAACAATGGGGTACAATTGACCCTCCATATCCACCTATTTGCATCAATGGATTTAATCAACCGTGGCTTGTTGGATTTTTTAAAATCCAACAAGCAAAGCTTGATTTTGCTATTTTATATAAGGGACATCATTCAACTGTGACATTATATACAATGAGAATTGAGTACCCATAAATTTGAGGATCCAGATTTTGTTCCAGATTGTGAGGGCTCTATGTACTTTATTGCAGGGAGATACAACTTTGCATTTGATAAATAACTACAGAAATACTATTTTTTTTCTTTAATGTCTCAAGCAATTTCTCAAACATGGATATAGTGGTACAGAATGGGAAAATACATTCCAAGGAGCAGAAATAAAGGCATGGCAATACCCATAGCATTTTAATATAACATAGTGACTTCTCTAGTCAGTACATATTAGAAGACAACATAGGTCCCATTTATCTATTGATTGCATTCAGTAGATGCTGCATTAAGACCAACATAAATTTAAGACCTCAAAAGCAGACATTCAGGGTACAAGATGTAATCCAACATACAATTACTGCATCCAATACAAACATATACAAGCAATTTATACAAAATGGAAAACTATGGTTTTCTGCTGCACAAACATGCCATCATTGCTTTAGTCATGTCTTGACTGCAAAAGTGAAGCCTTTGTTTCCTCATTTATTAAAAACTACAATACCCTATGATATTTGAACTCTGAAAGGCAGTCAATTGAAGATATAGTTAATAGAAACCAGTCTAAATTAAATAAAAATTTCAGACTCTTTTTTGGGTGAAACCTTAATTTACCCCCAGAGATGGAGAACATGTAGAGCCCCTTTCATCCCTCACTAGTAGCTATGCTACCAACAGCTGACGTGAGGTGCTGCCCAACAAGAGGTGGACACATCCCACCTACCAAAAATCTTAGTTTAACCCTACCACATTTTAATAAATTCAAGTACTTCTAGAAACAAAAGCATTAGAGAAGAAAATGAGACCCTTAGATTTTCTGCAACTCATTCATGTAGTGGGCAATCATAGCTTTGTCCTATACATGAACCAGACAGCAGAAGTAACCTAATAATGTAATACCAATGACAAGCTAAAAGTGAAAGAAAAATCAATCACATACCTTATGAAACAATGGCTGACTCAGCTGAGTTTACTAGTACTATACTTAGGGCAGAACAAAGTGGATGAATGTGGCACACTACTGTTGTTTTTTTGTGTCAGGAGTGAATTGAGAAACTACAAGGGGATGAATGTGGCACACTACTCGTGAAAAGCAATGAAAAAACTGAACAAGAAGTAGCTTACCTCCATCTGTGGGATTTCTGAGGCAATTTTCACTACTTTCTTTTCTGCACCTCTAAAAGAAAAATAAAGAACACTGATCAGAGCACAAATAAGCCCTCAATTTGCCATTACTAGCCAAGATAGCTCAGTTACAACAGCAGCTAAACTTTGACTCCAAGCTATCACAAATGCTTGGCTTCCTGGGAGGTCTCATACTGCCTTGTCTCTGTGTGCTCTCATCAAAATAATGCTTTCAAGAAATAGATGGTTTGAAACCAGTTGTGTCATCACTATAACTATGAGCAATAATAGGAAGGAAATGATCTACACCAGCTACACAGTTGGTATGTTTTGTAGATGATATTTTGGGCATGAAGTGGAGAAGAAGAAAAATACCCAACAGATCCATAGTCTACGCTTATATATCAACCCCTCTCTTCATCCATTACTGATGGCAGTGGAGTCCTTTGCAGCTAATTAGGGAGCTCTCTTTCCACATAAAGTTTGATAAGCAGTATCCAACATCTCCATAGTCAACTGTTCTCTCTCAACACTTTACTTTTTAAAAGAATTCACATTCCTTTATACATTAAGACTTAGAATAGGTCAGAAGAATATAGATACCAGCAATAGCTTAATGTAAGTAGATTATCTACCTAACGATCTAAAGTATCAGAAAATGAAAGAGATCACAATACAAATATTAAGACAGATCTTCTCTAGCTAAGCACATGATGAATTGACCATATCACTAGGTGGTTATTCTTAGGGGTCACTGTACGATCTTTGAATTTTAATTGCCAGTTATCTGCAATATCTACAGCTCCGAATAAAACAAATGTCATTCAACTCAAAAGCATGGGAAGAAGATCATATTTGGCAAAGCAGGAATGTTATTATTAAAAACACACTAGAGAACTCTGACTGCACAAATCACCTCTTTCCAAATTCACAGCTTCTCCCACAAACCAATGTAAATGTTTATCTGATTACTAAAATTTGGATGCCTTCAGTAGTAGTTAAGACATTCAGGATGTAATTCCTCACATGCACACTCACTGTGATTGGGGGATGGGGAATAATAACAATGAATAGTCAATCCTGACCAAAAGCCTCATGCCTATGTTATCTGCCCCAGGAATCTTTATTCTTTTATGGCTATATATTCACAAAGGGGTTTCTCTGTTGTAGTTCATGGGACATCTATGGTTGACTTTTGGCCAGGTCAGCCCCAACTCCATTTCAAGCACACACTTCTTTAACAATGTGCAATGGAAGCTAGTAAACAGCTTGAACAAAAATATAATGGAGTGGGCGTGCTTGGAAGTTTATGCTCTGAAAACAGGGTTGAGGTTTGTGGGAGAAAACAAAGGAGGAAGATACAAAGTTCGGAAGTTCCCAGGCTAAATGAAACAGCATTCTTCTTCTCCAAACAGCTCTCATAAAACAGTGGGTCATAGCCTGACTCATTAAGGTCTCCCATTTAGAGAAATGGACAGCTTTTGTTCAAGATTCCTGGACAGTTTTCCTATTTTATGCCCTGAACGGTAGTAATGGTTTAATGACTTTTTCACAGGAAGCAATTCAGAACAGGAACCAGGGACTTGTTATCCCTGCAGCACTCTTTGCAATCTTCTGTTAGTAATACAGAGAAAGGGCACCTCCTGCAGCCTAGATTCAAACACTGCAGTGCAATTTACATCTTTTCCTCTAAATGCAAGAATCAGTAACAATGAGAATTTGGTCAACTCTGGTAAAAAATCTCTGCATATTCCTTGGATAAGGAAAACCTATGAAATTAATGGACCTGAGATAAGTTGAATGGTGTCTTCAAGGCACATGCACATATAAAAATGCATTTTTGGAAGCCTTAATTAATAGATCAAATATTGGAAATACTCTGCCAGCAATGCCATTCAAAAATCCCAATGAACCTTAGGCAAGAAGTAAGGAACTCAAGAATGTAATTTGATTCAACAGATGCATTCACCTATACCTAGAACAAAAAAACAAGGGCAATGTTTAATATAATAGAATCCATTATGCTCTGCTGTAAGAGCATTTATATTTAAAATTAACTGATCACACTAGAGTAGTATTCAATCACCATGTTGTTGTTATTATGTGCCTTCGAGTAGTTTCTAAATTATGGCGATCCTATCAAGGAGTGTTCCAAGGTAGAGAGCATGTGATTCAGTCAGTTTTAAAGGCCAACCCTGGTCTCCAGAATCATTGTCCAATGTTCAAACCACTATGCCACACTAGCTATAAAAACTACCCAGAAAGTAAATCCTTTGTAAATCAGGGTCAATGGCCAAATTCTAAATTTGTCCCAAATGGAGGCGACCTGATGATTCAATAGTTTTACACAAGTGTTGGTTCTTGCCAAGATTAATTCAGAGGTGATTAATCCACTACCTTCCTCTGCAGTTAAGAGAGCACAAACTGCCAGGGGTTTTCATGCCTGCATTGGGATCCAACCCCTAGTAACCCAGAATCTTTAGTCTAATGTTCAAACAATCACTCCACTCTGTCTTTCAATTGTTGGTGTAACATTTAACAATTGATTCAATTGGTCTACTCTTCCTGGAACTAGCAACTGGATTTTGGCTGAGGGTTATGCACATTTATATCCTGCTCTATAACCTTAAAATTGACTAGAAAGCACTTCACAGAAGCTGTGCTGTGCAACAACCCAGATTCTTGCAAAACATATGTCTAAGCAAAATCTGCTTACATTAAACAAAAGGAAAGATCAGAACCCGGCAAGTGCTCACAGCTAGTACATTTATTGGCGTTTTACTATTTACAGCAAAGATAAAATATGTGTGCTACAATTACCTTGCTACTCAGAAAGGCACACTGCCTACATAAAATAGAGAAAGGCACTCTATCATACAAATGATAGGAAAAAACACCAATGCTTTCTTTCTAAAACTAAATAATTTCTCTGTTACTCTATTTTATAATCTGATAAAAGAAACATTAAAAAACAATAAAATTTTACATCTGGAAGCAGTAGCCCAATCATGGAATGAAAATGGTATGGATTCCAGAAGGTTTTTAAAAATTGTAATTACACTGCTATTATTGAGTAAAGCACCGTTCCTGAAAATAGCTTTCCTGTTTTTGTTAGGTGATTTACTATTTTTAGACTGTTTGTGGAACTGAAAGCTCTTTGGATTGAAAAGCAGAATAATTGTATTCTAAAACCATTAACTGGATTTGGAAAGCCATACTCCCAGGGACTTCAGGCCAGTCCAATTCCTGCATAAAGCAACTCATATTCATCAGCTGAAATCTGAAAGTAGCCAGGAAATTAAGCATGGGAAGTGCTCAAAATATACACGTAAATCTTTTAAATCTTCAAATTATGTTTTTTTAAATGTGAAATTAAATCCTTAGGAGGTACAGAATAACTGTGTGGAATGTGCTAGCTCACCTTTCCTGATCTCATGTTCCTGTGCAGTTTGCGTACATCATCTGAATGATCAGGTCAGAAGGCAGTATATCCCTTCAATGTTTAGTTGCTGAATGGCACCAGAAACATATGGGCAATTTGCTTCTCTCTATTAGCTTTTAAAGCATGCCGCTGACACAGGTGGTCCTTTTCTTTTTTCTTATTTTACAACTTGCCCGTTCCTTGATGTGGAATGAGAAGGAGCAGGGCAAGCTACACTGTGTATCTTTGTTTTGTCTTTATTCACACTGGGGGTGGGCCTAACAGTTTCTTATATTGAAGAAGGCTTTCAAGAGCTGGATTCTTCATGTAAAGTACACACAGAAAAGACAATACACTTGTCAGAGATAGAGAAGCAATAACACTTGGGGTAGGGATGGGGAAGTATGGTAAAATGAATAGCTTTGTTTATACAGGTTGTATAATTTGGTTTGATCTCATGTAACTGTTCATTAACATTTTGTGAAAAATATGAAATTGTTAGCAATACATGCAGAAACTTAAAGATCAAAACCACAGATAATAAAAAACATTTGTGTCAGGCAAGATAAGAGTATGTTCCTAATTTCTGGAAAGGAACAAATCATTTTGTATTAATTAATAAATTAATAGGAAATCCTGCCAATTTCAAAAGATATAATTTTAGCCTATTTCCAGATTTGCAGGAGATAGTGAAATAGCAAACCTGGAAATAGCAAACCTGTAATTCCAATTTCAGAAATGTCAAAGTATTTCAATGAAACCTCAAGTGCTTCTGACTCATTCTACAATATCAATAATAAGTGTAGTTCAATATGAATGGAGTCCCCTTTGGGAAGATAAAGCGGGGTATAAACAAATTGAATAATAATAACAACAACAACAACAGTGGGTGCACTCCCTAAAGACCTGGCTTGCACTTAAAAACAATTGGCATTGACAAAATTACCATTTGTCAGCTACAAAGGGCCACCCTGCTTGAATCTGCACACATTATTCGCTGATACATCACAGTCCTAGACACTTGGGAAGAGTCCGACGTGTGATCAAATACAAAAGCTAGCAAAGTGATCATGTTTGTGGTGTACCAATCTTGTTGTGTATCAAATAATAATAATAATAATAATAATAATAATAATAATGACATAACCACATCTGGAAAGATCAGGACTGGTCTCAGAAACACTCAAGAAACACTACCATGTGACTATCTAATTAGTAAACATGATCTTTTAATAAGAAGGATAGATAATTACACTTCAGGTGATTTCTCAGTAGCTACTTCCTCTTTGACAGGAGCATCTAACGGTTTCTGTTCTTCTTCCTGAAAGGCAAGGAATCAAAATAATTATTCTACAAAAGTATATATAGTATAAGCTTTATGCAAGTCTTACTGGAAATAATTCTGACTGAGTTCAATGGACCTGGTCACCTGAAACTTAAGCAAGTATGTATAAAATATACAGGTTTTCAGATATTCAACACTCCCATTAAAAATTCAACTCATGGACAAATGTGAGTATTTCCAACAACAACAAAAAGCAAGCTAGTAAAGGAAAGAGATTTTATTGCATCCTTCCACATAGTCTGCTTTGTTTTCACACCGAGCATAAAGAAAATACTTTCCTCCATGATCAGAAATACAAAAGCCTAACACAAAGGAGTTAGAATGGTCCTGTTTTGGTTCATCCAGAGGCTGAAGATGAGGGGATTGTTCAATCAGAGGTTGTGAGATCTGATGGGTTTTCCAGTGTGGGAAATGAGGGAATTTTAGATCATGATTCTGTCTGGGAGAATGGGTCTGTGTCTGGAGAGAAATGGCTTCAGAGCAGAGTAAAGATGGAGATGCTGAGGCATCAGACGATAGGCAGAACCTTTCCCCTAGTCGTTCCTTGGCCATTGAAGATTTTGAGCTGAAAGGGAAAGAGCTTTTCCCTGGGAAAACACCTGTGGTAAGTAGGAGTTTGAGGTTCGATCTCTGGAAGGAGGGAGCCAGATTACAGAGGTCACAGAGACTTCATGAGAAATCCTTGAAACAACAGAGCAGATGTCAAAGATATGACTTCATGGCTTTGTGGTCCTTAAATTAAAATGTTGTTTACTAAAAGGGTTAGAGCAGGCAATGTTGCGTTATTATGTACACCTTGGTCTTGTTCCATGTTCAAGTCTATGTTTAAGATTCTTGAGAAAGTTTTGGTCTCATGTTCATGGATTCATGTTTTGAAAGAAGTTCCTGTGTTCCTGGTTATGGATTTATGCTTATGTTTTGATTTCTGATTTTCCATGTACCTTGTTACTTTTAAACAGAACTCTGATGAACTCCGATATATAGACTATTGGCTATTATTAGCCTTTTTTCCTATTGCTTTTTGGGACATTGCTTTGTATTACTTTTTTTTGCCTTTTTATAATTGTTTTCTTCAATAAACTGTTTAGTTAATAATTCTGGACTCTTGTGTGGTGCAAAGGTGAATCCAGGCTAGTGTACAACAGGTCTATACTTTCATTGTCAGTCCCCTTGTTAGAAGCCATTAAAATACCTAAATTGCAAAGGGGGTTATGATGTTTTTATATGTACATGTGTTTTATTTTATGGTGCCCGTATTTCCTGGCGACTGGACGTATAAGGCGACCCCCAACTTTTCTAGTTAAAATAGAGTTTGGGATATACTTGCCGTATAAGACTACCCATATTCCAAAGCACACCAAATAAAAATTTTAAAAACATGATTTGATATCAATACAGTAATTTTCCTATTAACGTACCTCCTTCTCTGCCTCTTAGATCTCGCACATGAGCATCTGCACCACTTCACTGCAGTCCTCAGGAGTGAAATTTGAGAGGCAGAGAAGGACGTACGGTAATAGGATACAAAGGCGGGCCAGACGGGTGAAAGAGGCGTGTTTTTCTGAGCACAGCACCACTCTATCTTTTTTTTTATACCTGGATTCCTGCTCCACCCTTCACTTACACCTTCCTGGTGTGGCGCCCCTGCACCTCATCATTGGGACCGCGTTAAGCCATTTCTTTCCAAAAATCCTGGTGAGTGGATTTTCTTCTACCGTAATTGTACAGCGCTGCCCTTGCTGCTTTCCGCATATGACAGGGATGCAGCTACAGCTGTTTTTGAGCTCCCCCGCCATATGAGGCAGGCGCAGATTCTCCAGTCCAGCTCGGAAGTTTCAGCCCTTGCCCTGTAAGACGACACCCAGTTTATAAGACTTTTGAGAAGAATTTCCTGGGTTAAAAACGCCAGAAAATACAGTATTTTATATTGTGTTCACTTTTATGTTTGTTTTTAGGCACTTTGTGTCATCTGTAAGGTGCCCCAAGTCCCTTCGGGGAGAGTGATGGGATATAAGAATAAAATTATTATTGTTATTGTTATTATTATTATTATTACTATTATTTCTATACCAACTGCAAAGAAGAAAAAAAGGTTTGCTTCAGGTCCAACCTATCTTTGAGAACGCATCTCCTTCTAGGAACCAACGTGCGGAGGTCTCACCTCCATCTCAAGTGTGGTTGGTGGGGACGAGAGAGAGAGCCTTTTCGGTGCTGGCTCTCCGGCTTTGGAATGCTCTTCTGAGGGAGATTAGGCTAGCCCCCACTCTCCAAGACTTCCGTTATCCAACTGAAGACATGGATTTTTAGGCAAGCCTTTGATCATATTCAGAAATTCGGGGACCTAAAGATTTTTCACTATGCACTGTGAATGATATTGATTGTAGTTTGTTTTATATTCTGCAGTTATTGTTGCATTTTATTGATCTTAATCAGGGGAGTTTTGCGATGTTTATGTCGGTTGTTGCTGCCTTGTGTTGTTGTCTTTGCATTTTATGTATATTGCATGTTTGCACCTTTGAGTGCTTTGTGAGCCACCCCAAGTCTTTCTGGGAGATGGTGGTGGGCTACAAATAATGTTTTTATTATTATTATTATTATTATTATTATTATTAAAAGTTCTTTCTCCATGACTACCATAGACATTAATGCTGCTAATAGGTCATATTATCCCACTGCCCCCTGGTGGTATGTGAGGTCTTATTTACAAACCTATTCTAAGATATGTATGCAAGACTATCTTCCATGATACATAATGGACAAGAGTAGTGATATTGCAGAAAAATGGAATTTATATTCTGATAATCACATTTTTCTTTTCAAAGAAAACATACTTCAAAATATATGGGCTGAATACAATCAAATCTAAAAAGAATGGGGGGGGGGGAGTGGAGTCATGAACCGAGCAGTGTTTTGGTCTATAACCCCTTCCCTTTACTCATAACTGTTAGAGATAAGACTGATACTTAACATTTAATTACTATAACTGCTTAACATGCATAATGATAAATTTCACAAAATCAATTTATCTTTGTATGAAGAAAACAATACCTTTGCATTTTTAGAGCACAGTATGCATGTCCTCATTTATAAGCAAGCAAGGAATTAATAGACATTTTAGCCAATTGTTACTTCTGATAGTTTGTTTCATATAAGAATCCAGGTTTTTTTTAATTCTGTTTCTTTTCCAGAGATAAAAACATGAGGACGGCCTGAGTAACTGGGCATATATAAGTTTTGATAACACATGGATCCTATCACAGAAAAAGGCAGCGAGAACTGAATCACCAACTGATATGACTCATGGGATAACTCTCCAGTGACCAAAAAGAACATCATGGTAAGACCAATCTGTGGGAGAATGAACTCACAGGAAGCTAATGTCCAAAATTACTATCTCCCTGTGGGTGGAGTCCAGCGAATTATAGAATTACAGCACCATGTCAGTGAAAGCAGCTTTAGTGGAGCTGTATTTGATACTACAATGTCAGCTAAAGATGGAAGAGGTGGTCCATCTGATTGTCTTGTGGGTATTCTCTAGGGCTACAAAGGGATGAGGACCACAGAGGCCATTGCAATTCTAATAGAGTGATCCATGATTAGAGATGGGAAGGCCTGGAAACAAATGGAAAAATTGGGGGGGGGGGGGAACGGTTTTTTCCAAAGCCATTTTTTCCTCGGAAAAATGGAAAGGTGTGTAGAATATGTTCTTTTCCAATGATAAATAATATATCTATGGCATGGCATTTAAACTATATAACAGCAATACCTTAATGAAAAATTTCTGAGACTGTTTGTTTCTACACTTTTTTTCATTTTTTTTCCATTTAAAAACAGCTTGAAAAAAACTAGAACCCCCCCCCCCCATTTCCCCCCGTTTTTTTCCAGGCCTTCCTATCTCTAGTCATGAGACCTGCTAGGATGAACCTGCCAAAGGAACTGAAAGATAGAAATATCCATTCTATAATTTATGAAATGATGGACTCCAAGACACCTACCAGATCTGGTCACTTAGCCTTTCAGAGAGAAACAGACAACCAACTAATAGCTGTGAAAATGCCTCAAACACATCCAACTGCCAAGCATGGAATTACAGCCATCTATATGTAGATGAAAGAGCAAACCCTGACTCAACACATCAGGGAGCAAAAGGAGGCATCATGGCAGACAGAGACTGAAGTCTCAAGAATTCCAGTATCAATGATGTCAATGCCATTGTGATGAAATCACTACTGACTCCGCAAAGACTCTGCTCCCCTCCTAGAGAAATGGCTTAGCCAGCTTGGGATGTTCAACTCTTATATACTGCTCTCCTCCCAATGGAGGAGGTTAGTTTCCAACTGCAATGTCAACATATGTGTGATGCTCTGGTTGTGAATGTGAGCCTTCATAATGTTGTCTGTACAAAGAAAGCCATTCTAATCAGAAACGTGGTTGGCAAACTGCGAAAGCACAGGTAGGTCACCTGAAGTTCCAGCCAGTTGATAAGGCTGCAACAATAAGACTGGTGTTCAGAGGGCCTGAATCAATAATCCCATACCAGGAATCCCTCAGCAGTATTCCTTTGAGTGGAAATAGTTGCTGGTCCACAAATGTAATGAGGACAACATTGCCCCTGAGAAACACAAGGAAAAGCAAGCTATATGAGCAATTTCTCTTTGCTGTGGAAGCAACATACACTGAACCTGAGAATAGAAGTGGGCCCTAGAGAAGAGACTATAGCCAGAATTCATAATCCCAAAGATCTGCAGCAATAATATCAGGGACATTCATTCTCCACTCAGAGGATCTACTAGTAGTCTTGTGCATTTGTATAGAATTGCTATCCATTTCGGTTTGTTTCATTCGTACAGCCCCATTTTCGTTTTCAAGCACCTCTCCCGAAAACCAGAGACTTCGCGAATGAGCTTTTTCACTCAGGGCTTGAAAGAACAAACATTTTCAGACCATTGGCCGACATGGGTAGCCTTCTCAGGCTCCCCTTCCCCTCAGTTTTAGGACTAGAGGGATGAAAATCACCACATAAGGAGGGTACATTGACCACTCTTAGTCCACCAAGTTTTATAACATTTGGGTTATTCTGATTTTTAGGAATTTTTTCTTTCTATAAATAAAATCTCCTTAAAAATATTCCCTCTTTCCCTTCCTCTCGATAACCTAAAAAACTATTTTTCTTTTTTTTAAAAAAAAACAGGATATGCTATAGTACTGAACCTGACACTACTGAAAACAAAACAAAATAATTAATTAATTAAAAATATTAAATAATATTGCAAACTGACCTTGATAGAGATCAAAAGGACTGAAAAAACAGCGATGTTCTGCAAGCTGACTGGGCAAAAGGAGGAAATGGCTGTCTGAATCTCACTTTTTTGTCAGCTACTAGGAGGCCACAGGGTTGTGTCTTCAGATACCTGTTTGTTATGCAGCTTGCTGCACCATCAGAGAGCTTTCTTACTCTTTCCAATAAAAAAATTAGGTAGCTACAACAAATAGTCTGGGTGAACCTGGCTGTTTAAACAAGCTTTTGAGAACGCCTACTCCCTAGTTGTTCTTTGCAACAGTTATGCAGCCTTGCTGTTTTAATTGAGTCTTGTTGTTCAATATACCAGTATGCTTTATTCAATTGTATTTTATACTGTGCTTTATATTATGTTCTGTCTTTAGACACCTTGTGCTATGGGGAGATGGTAGCGAGATACAAGAAAAAAGTTGTTGTTGTTTTGTTGTTGTTGCTATTATTATGAAGTGGGAAGGGAAGCTCCCCCCCCCCCCCGGATTTAAAAGGCAATGGTTGAACCATATTGCTTCAGAATCTACTATGGAGCACGGAATCTGATTTTACTGAGGCGTTGATGACCACGTTGTTTTGTCTTGTATTGTCTGTCGTGTATGTTGTGTTTTAATCTAACTGTTATTGTTATATAAATTGCATTGTAAACCGCATTGAGTCGCCGATTTAGGCTGAAAAATGCGGTATAAAAATAAAGCAAATAAATAAATAAATAAATAAAAGACCCTGCACTCCATACAAACACAAAATGAAGACAAAAAAGGCTTTCTCTTTCACGGCCAGAACAAGAAGCACTGCTTCTGGAGTGTGGAAGAAGTTACTCTTTGCTCTTGGTCCCACCCTCCCAATTATTGAAAATTAAAATAATTTCAAAGAACTCTCACCAAACAAAGCAAGAATGCAAACCCTCAAAATCACAATAAACAGACTAATTTCTTGGTTGTTGTTTTTTACAGAATACTAATTCATCACATAAAATTTATAATGGTGCAAATCCAGGATCCAAAAGCAACTGTTCTGATACTTCTTTATCCTAGTTTTGTAAAAGCCGTTTCTTAAGCAATTACTGTATATGCTCGAGTATAAGCCTAGTTTTTCAGCCCTTTCTTTAGGCTGAAAAAGTCTCCCTTGGCTTATACTTGAGTCAAGGTTATTTATTATTTTACTCTGTTATTATTACTATTTTTATTACATTTATTATTTTACTCTATTATTATTATTATATTTATTAATTTACTTTATTATTGCTGTTATTATTACATTTACTTTAATCTATTTATTGTTATTATTACAGTTATTATCTTTCTCTATTATTACTGTTACTATTACATTTCCATTATTTTACTCTATTATTATCACTATTACATTTATAATTTTACTCTTATTATTGGAAGGATACGTAAGCAGATTTACATTGAAGAAGGTTAGAATAATGGTTTAATCAGAGTTGGGCAGTCTTATCTTAAATTACAGTTTTATGTAAATATTTAAAAACATTTAACTTACTGATGCCACAATTAATGTAATTGTATTGGTGTCAATTTTTATTTTTAAATTTACTAGTAGCTGCTGCTGCATTTCCCACCTTTGGCTTATACTCGAGTCAATCCGTTTTCCCAGTTTTTTGTGGTAAAATTAGGTGCCTCGGCTTGTATTCGGTTCGGCTTATACTCAAGTATATATGGTATATTATTTGGAAGAAGAGCATTCCCCTGAAATGTCCGCTTTGCTCACTCCACTTGCAGCATAATTCACATATCCACTAAGACATATATACCCATATATTCAATGGAGCTTCTTTCCACCTAAGTGGAAATTTAGATCCATCAAATGGGAAGTAGCCTTATAGGTCACTTGAATAGTAAGGATGAAGTACATATTGTACTGGAGATTTCTGTCTTAGTAAACTTAAGAGCCTTCAAAGAACACATAACAAAAAATACAAACGAATTCACTTTCCTAATCATGAATATTATTTTGCACTAACATTGGATATTTTTCTGGCTATCGACTTGACAAGGAAGTCAACAGATACATTTTTAGTTAATGTGTTGAATTAAGGATACATTTCAGTAAATGTGTTGAATTAATGAGTAGTTCAAATATAGTGGTGATAGTAAAAGAGATCTTTTCAGTTTATTTGCAGTTTGCAAGATCCTGCAAGATTCTGTTATCAGGGGAAGCCTTTACCTTTATCTGTGTTTCATTGTTTCTAGGCATTGAATGTTTGCTTTGTGTTTGTGTATGCTGGAATCTGCCCTGAGTACCTTCGGGGAAATAGAGCGGAATACAAATATTATTATTATTATTATTATTATTATTAGGTAAGAAAATAAATGTCAAGTTCATTTGACATTTGCTTTTCAGAAAGCCTGTAAGACCTTTCTTTTCCGACAAGCTTTCGATGGGTGAATAACTCGGGACTATGTCGGTTCTTGTTTTTATTGTATTTTAAAGTTGGTTGTATTGTTTTAATCTACTGCTGTAAACCGCTCCGAGCCAAATTGGGAGTGGCGGTATACAAGTCAAATAAATAAAGAAAGAAATACAGCAATAAAGGGTTAACCATCTTATACAAAAATATGATATATACCTCTGTTTCTTCTCCCAAGACATCTTCTTCATTTGCTTCTTCCTCAGCTACACCCAGTAGGAAAAAAAGAAAGAGTTTTAAATTAAAATATGATTAAAATTCTTGGTGTCCTGAGCCCTTATTTTTTTGGAAAATGAGGCTCTTACGTAGAAGCTTCTACTTTATTATATTCTCTATGTTCAAATAAACCAAATCAGCATAATATTACAACATAATAAATTATATTACACATGTATATTTTTGACTAAAATATAACATACGAAATGCATCTTAAGATCCAACATACAAAAGTTCTGTTAATTTTGCTGTGCGCTCTAGGTACTGCCATGACCTGCTATTTAGCTTAAACCATAGAGAACTATCACATTTAAACATGCAGTCATAGTTTCCAAAGATCCAACAAACATAGCAGGAAATGAGGGATGGAATAAACAAACCTGGAATAAAAAATGGAATAAAAAATGTCTAATCAATGTTTGGTGTTCCATGAAAAATCATATTCAAAACACTGCTATAAAATCATTGCATAAAAACAGATAGTGTACTGATTGAAAGCATTTGTACAAATAAGTTACTAGCATACTAAGTCATCCTGCCATTAAAAGCATTTTTGCTGTAGAATTTTCCAAATTTGGTTGTTTTGTGTTTCTAATGGTCTTTTTCATATTTGAAGTGCTCAAGAAATCATACTCTCTTATTCTTCTGAATTCTGAAATGTATCCTACAAAAGCTGTTAAGAAGGCACATAGGACTATTCTGAAGTATTAAGTACTGGCAAGGACTATGAAAATGTGCTGTGCCCATCTAGGCAGCACACATCTGCTCTGTGATAGATAAAAAAGCATAGCAGAACACCACAGTGATTGGTGAAGCCTCCTCTCACATGTCAGAAGATGGTGCCTACCCCATAGGGGTGGTGTACATCTGTAGCAGAAAGCCATCACAATGATTAAAAATAGACATATTCACTCAATGGAACTTTGCTTCCTTCCTATCCTAACAAGTAGCCCTGCTGGACATAGAATCACAGAGTTGGAAAAGACCCCACAGGCCATTCAGTCCAACCTCCTGCCATGCAGGAAAACACAATCAAAGCACCAGACAGATAATCATCCTGCCTCTGCTTCCAGAGGAGACTCCACCATGCTCTCAGGCAACATATTCCACTGCTAAACAGCTCTTACCAGCAGGAAGTTCTTCCTAATGCTTAGATAGAATCTCTTTTCCTGAAATTTGAATAGCCCCTTGTCGCGTAGTCTCCAGAGAAGCAGAAAACAAGCTTGCCCCCTCCTCAATGTGACATCCTTTCAAATATTTAAATATCACTATCACGTCCCCTCTCAGCCTTCTTTTCTCCAAGCTAAGCACACCCAACTCCCTCAAAATCTTTGATCAATTTGGTCACCCTTCTCTGAATATGTTCTGACATGTCAATATCCTTCTTGATGTGTAGTATCTAGAACTGGATAAAGTATTCCAGATAAAGTTTGACCAAAGAAGGATAGAATAGTGTGGGATCTTGGCAAACTATAGAGAGGAACATACCATGTTGCTCAAAATAGGCTTGCAGTCTGTTGACGAGATCCTGCTTATTTCCCTTTGCCTCCAGACCTCGGGCTAAACATTCTTGCTTCAGTTCAGCAAGCTGTAAAGTATTAAAGACAAAAAGTTTAAAGCATGTTTTCTCTTATAATATCAAAATGTGAAATATGAAACAAAGAAATAAAATCAGCAGATGCTTTTAACAACAGCAAGAAAATAAGCTAAAAGCTTTACAGTTTACACACTCAGACAGTTATAATGCCCTCCACTGGGCAGCCTGCAAAGACTTGAAGACTCCTCAGCCCACCTCCCCAGAGAGGAGTGGGCAGGCTGAGTGTCTCTGCCAGCTATCTACTGTGGCAGCTGATGGGATAAAGTACTGTTGGTGGGATAGGGTTCAGCTGCCGCCTGGTGATCCCTTTCAGGTCTGGCAGAGCTGCTGGTTAGGGCAGGAATGGAGGCCATGGGCTCCTCTCCTTCCTTTGAAAGAAATGGGAAGGAAGGTCACCGCTGGGTTTGAATGAGGGGTTGGAGCAAAAGGCAAGTGCTGCTCTCTGTGCTGCATCTGGGCTTGGGGGTGGAAGCAAGAACCGGGACTCAGCAACTGGCACTGCCAGCCAGAAGGCTCAGGTGTCATGTCAGGTGGAACTTCTGTGCCTTCACTTCCCTAGTTAGCCATGGAAAACTGTATAAGAGAGAGAGAGACTGATTTTCTCACCAGCTTGTCACCACCACAAGGCAACAGATCTCTTTCCCCCTCCTCCAGGCCATCCAACTCATGAATCTGCAAACTCACACTGTGTATATATGTGAATGCCCACATTTTACCCCAAGTGGCACAATGGGTTAAACCCTTGTGCCGGCAGGACTGCTGATCAAAAGGTCAGTGGTTCAAATCCAGGAGCGGGGTGAGGTCCCATTTGTCAGCTCCAGCTTCTAATGCAGGGACATGAGAGAAGGCTCCCACAGGCTGGTAGAACATCTGGGTGTCCCCTGAGCAACATCCTTGCAGACGGCCAATTCTCTCACACCAGAAGCGATTTACAATTTCAATGTATTGTCGAAGGCCTTCATGGCTGGAATCACTATGTTCTTGTGGATTTTTTCGGGCTATAGAGCCATGTTCTAGAGGCATTTCTCCTGACGTTTCGCCTGCATCTATGGCAAGCATCCTCAGAGGTAGTGAGGTCTGTTGGAATTAGGACAATGGGTTTATATATCTGTGGAATGGCTGGGGTGGGGCAAGGAGCTCTTCCCTGCTGCAGTTAGGTGTGAATGTTTCAGCTGATCACCTTCATTAGCATTTGAAGGCCTGCCTGAGCCTGGGAAAATTTCTTGCTGGGAGGTGTTAATCTGTGCCTGGTTGTTTCCTCTCTGTTGTTTTGCTGTTGTAATTTTAAGAGTTTTTTAATACTGGTAGCCAGATTTTGTTCATTTTCATGGTCTCTTCCTTTCTGTTGAAATTGTCCACATGCTTGTGGATTTCAATGGCTTCTCTGTGTAGTCTGACATGGTGGTTGTTGGTGTGGTCCAGCATTTCTGTGTTCTCAAATAATATGCTGTGTCCAGGCTGGTTCATCAGGTGCTCGGCTATGGCTGACTTCTCTGGTTGAAGTAGTCTGCAGTGCCTTTCATGTTCCTTGATGCGTGTCTGGGCGCTGCGTTTGGTGGTCCCTATGTAGACTTGTCCACAGCTGCATGGTATACGGTAGACTCCTGTAGAGGTGAGAGGATCCCTCTTGTCCTTTGCTGAACGTAGCATTTGTTGGATTTTCTTGGTGGGTTTGTAGATTGTTTGTATGTTGTGTTTCCTTATGAAGATCCACCAGAGGAAAAGTGTTCCTGCCATACATCAAGGGAACCACTGACCGCATAGGGAAGCTGATGAAGAAACACAACATACAAACAATCTACAAACCCACCAAGAAAATCCAACAAATGCTACGTTCAGCGAAGGACAAGAGGGATCCTCTCACCTATGGACCAGCCCACGCCAGAGCTCCCTGTTAGCCGTGGCCATCCCCAGCTCCTTCAAAGTCAAGCCAGTCACTTCAAGAATACCATTGCCCTTGGTCAACCTCTCTTCCTTTTTCTTTCCATTTTCCCCAGCATCATTATCTTCTCCATGGTTTCATGTCCTCATTATGTGGCCACAGTACTTCATCTTTGCCTCTAATATCCTTCCCTCCAGTGAGCAGTCAGGCTTTTTTCCCTAAAGTATGGACAGGTTGGATCTTCTTGCAGTCCAAGGAATTATCCAAATTTTCCTCCAGCACCACAGTTCTTCCTTCTTTATGGTCCAGCTTTCACATCCATAGGTTGCAAGGGGAATACCATTGCTTTAACTATGCAGATCTTCGTTGCCAATGTGCTGTCTTAACTATTTTAACGAGATTGGCCATTGCTCTCCTCCCAAGAAGTAAAGTCTCCTGATTTCCTGGCTGCAGTCTGCATCTGCAGTAATCTTTGCACCTAGAAATACAAAGTCTGTCACTGCCTCCACGTTTTCTCTCTCTATTTGCCAGTTATCAATCAGTCTGGTTGCCATAATCTTGGGTTTTTAATGTTTAGCTGCAACCCAGCTTTTGCACTTTCTTCTTTCACCTTGGTTAGAAGACTCCTCAGCTTCTCCTCGCTTTTGGCCATCAAACAGCCATGCTTAAACATCCTAAATGATGCTACATTGAGAAGGGGCGAGCTTGTTTTCTTCTGGCCTGGAAGCTAGGGCCCAATGGAGCAATGGATTCAAACTGCAGGATAGAAAATGCCCTTTCAACATGAGGAAAAACTTCCTGAGAGCAAGTGCTGTTCGGCAGGGGACAGACTGCTCCCTTAGAGTGTGGCGGAGCCTCCTTTCAGCCGGTTGGGGTTGGCTGTTAGGAATGGTGGGAGTTGTAGTCCAAAGCACCTGGAGAGCCGGAGTTTGCCCAGCCTGTATAAGAGGGTGCTTTGATTGTGTGTCCCTGCATGGCAGAAAAGGGCTGGACTGGACGGCCCTTGGGGCCTCCTCCAATTGACCTGGGAAAGGCCTTCCTCAGCGGGAGTTGGGAAAGTGGGAGGCGCCGTGAGAGAGGGAAGGCCTGCAAGGCCGTTCCATCCTGCCCTCATGAGAGAGAGAGAGAGGCACGAGCCCACCTCCTGAGGAGAAGCAGACGCCGCTCCAGCCAAAGAAAGCACGAAGCGCCTGACAAGAAGGGGAGGAGGGGAGGCCACGCGCCGCTTCCTCGACTCTTCAAAACAAAAAAAAATAACCGACATGCCGACCCCGCGCGACTGGCCTCGCGCTACCTTCAACTTGTGGAGCTCCACAGTTTCTGCCACCACCGCCGCCGCCATCTTCTCCTCACCAGGTCCTCCACGCGCCCCCTCACCGTCCTGCGCGTGGCACCCAATCAGGGCCGCGCTCTCACTGGAGCCTCTCACCTCTCAGCATCGCCTCTCCTCATTGGCTCCTCGAACGGAGAGGCGAAACGTCGTAAAGGGGAGCTGCCAATAGGACGGGAGGAAGGAGGATGGAGGAGTCAGCGATTGGCTGGCAGGTTGGCGGGAGGGTGGGAAGCGGAGGCGATGCCGGCTCTCTTCCTGGAACCCTCTTCCCTGCCGGGCGAGGGAGAGGCGCTGGCTGGTGCTGCTGCTGCTGCGGAGCCCCGTTTCCTGGAGGGAGAGGCGCTCCCGCGGAAGACGCCAGGTAGGCGCCCAAGGAGGGCAAACTGGAGGCCCTCCTCCCAGAGAGAGAGAGAGAGAGGGGAGCGAGGGCGCGCTCACGGTGTAGAAAGGAGGCAGTGCCGCACCATCTGGACTGACAGGACTCAAGGCTATGGCACCTTGGGGGTTGTGCTTTGGCAGGGCCTTTAGCCTTCTCTGCCGAAGAGGGTGGGTGCCTCGCCTCACCACACTAGACATCCCACGACCCCAAAGCCTTCAGCCATGCCATACCAAGTGTGGTTGTTTTTTATTCGTTCAGTTGCTTCCCACTCTTCGTGACCTCATGGACCATTCCACGCCATAACTCCCTGTCAGCCGTCACCACCCCCAACTCCTTCACAGTCAAGCGAGTCACTTCAAGGGTACCATTCATCCATCCTGCCCATGGTCGGCCCCTCTTCCTTTTCCATTTCCCCCAGCATCATTGTCTTCTCTAAGCTTTCCTGTCTTCTCATGATGTGGCCAAAGTACTTCATCTTGGCCTCTACTATCCTTTCCTCCAATGAGCAATCGGGCTTTATTTCCTGAAGTATGGACTGGCTTGATCTTCTTAGAACCATAGAGTTGGAAGAGACCTCATAGGCCATTCAGTCCAACCCCCCTGCCAAGAAGCAGGAATATTGCATTCAAAGCACCCCTGACAGATGGCCATCTAGCCTTAATTTAAAAACCTCCAAAGAAGGAGCCTCTACCACACGCCAGGGCAGAGTTCCACTGCTGAATGGCTCTCACAGTCAGGAAGTTCTTCCTCATGTTCAGATGGAATCTCCTTCTTGTTGTCCAAGGCACTCTCAGATTTTTACTCCAGCACCACAGTTCAAAAGTATCTATCTTCTTTCGCTCAGCCTTCCCTATGGTCCAGCTCTCACATCTGTAGGTGACTACAGGGAATACCATTGCTTTAACTATGTGGATCTACATTGCCAGTGTGATGTCTCTACTCTTTACTATTTTATCAAGACTGGACATTGCTCTCCTCCCAAGAAGTAAGCGTCTTCTGATTTCCTGGCTGCAGTCTGCATCTGCAGTAATCTTTGCACCTAGAAATACAAAGTCTGTCACTTCCTCCATGTTTTCTCCCTCTATTTTCCAGTTGTCAATCAGTCTGGTTGCCATAATCTTGGTTTTTTTATGTTTAGCAGCAACCCAGCTTTTGCACTTTCTTTTTTCAACTTGATTAGAAGGCTCCTCAGCTCCTCCTCACTTTCGGCCATCAAAGTGGTATCATCTCAATATCTAAGGTTGTTAATATTTCTTCCAGCAAATTTTACCCCAGCCTTGCATTCATCAAGCCCCGCACATCGCATGATGTGTTTTCTACATACATGTTGAATAGGTTGGGTGAGAGTATACAACCCTGCCTTATACCCAATCTTGAACCAGTCTGTTGTTCTATGGTCAGTTCTTACTGTTGCTACTGGATCCTTGTACAGATTCCTCAGGGGAGAGACAAGGTGGCTTGGGATCCCCATACCACCAAGAACTAGCCACAATTTATTATGATCCACACAGTCAAAGGCTTTAGAATAGTCAATAAAATAGAAAAAGATGTTTTTTCTGAAACTCCCTGCCTTTCTCCATCATCCAGCAGGTATTGGCAATTTGACCTGGAACTTTGGCATACCATGTTCAAATAGTTTGCCTCAGTTGAGATTGTCCTGCCTGTATAATGATTGAAAGCAAAGCTGCTCCACCTGCAGCATCCTCTGAAATTCACCCCCACCAATCAAGACAGGCATATATTTCCGAATCCAAACTATAGCGGATGACAAGCAGCAGGGAAATGAGAGCAGCGAAGGATGTAATAAGATGCCTTGCGGGGTTGATAATGTAAACAATTGGGAGTGCCACCTATTTTAAGCCTGAAATGTATTACACTATGTAATAAGTAAGTAATTAAACTACGTAACACAATTTTTGTTCCTGGGTTATGTCATTTTCTAATTTATTCCGCCACAAATAAACTACAAAAACTTTGTTCTTGTGGGGCATCCTACAGCACAGTTCGCTATAGTTTTTCAATTAATATCTCATAGTCTCAACCAATTTGACATAGTTTGTGGCAGCAACAAAATTGAAGTTTCTGGAGTATAACAAGGTACCGCACAATTAAACAGGAAATAACACTTTCAAACCAGGAAGGAACAGAACATTTTTCAAATTTTGTTACATAGTGTTATAGTTCTTAGTGCAACACAGCTCCTTGCATTCATTTTGTAATCTGGGTGCAGTACTTTGAACTGCATTGAACTATATTACGTCGTTCTACACTGACTGTATCAAACTGCATTAAATGGTCAGTGTAAACCAGCCTAAGACAGAAGTTTCGGAGGTCCTGAGAACAGGTTTGAGACCTAAGGCAGATTGTGTGTTCAAAGCTTTTTTTTTGTGATATGTAACTCCTCTGCATTCTTGCTCCAGTATGAATGTTGGGGTAGCTCACAGCGAAGTGAATCCCAACACGCGAGTGATGAACAGCCGCGGCATCTGGCTGGCCTACAGTATCTCAGTGGCAGTCCTCCACATTATCCTTCTCAGCATGCCCTTCTTCAGTGTTCCTGTGGTCTGGACTCTGACCAACGTCATCCATAACCTGGTATGTCAAAACCCTCTTACTGCTGGATCTGATCATCTTCACCTCTTCCTTAAGCTTGTTTTGTCACTTGTGACCTGAAGGTAGAGCTGAGCATGCGCAAAAAGTGGAAGAGGCAGTTTGGGATAATCATCATAATACATTGCATTTCACATTTATTTTGATCTCTGGCGGAGTGATAATACTATATTTGAGGCAAATCATGTCCTCTAGATCACTGCTTCTTGAACTGTGGGTCCTGACTCCAAATGTGGTCTCCTTAGTACAGTTGTTCCCAACCTTTTTTTGACCAGGGACCATTCTCCAACATTAGTACCAAAAGGGTTACGAATCTGTTGATTCTAAGATATAATATTTTTTTTTCAAAGAAAAGAAATCTTGAAGACTGTCATGGGTTTGGAATACTAAATGTGCTAAGGAATTTTACCATATAGGCTTGTTGCCATTTCTTGTTGAATCCTCAAACATTTCTTAGATGTACCATTTTAATTTAACATTGCTGCCTCTTTCTAACTGTACTACAAAAAGAAAGGAAGACCATGATAATTTTTCTCTCCCAGGCAATGTATTGGCTCCTGCACACAGTAAAAGGGACCCCCTTTGAAACGCCCGACCAGGGCAAGGATCGCCTCCTCACACACTGGGAACAGATAGATTATGGGACACAGTGGACATCCTCACGCAAATTCTTAAGCATCTCACCAATTGTGCTGTAAGTGCCAGGACTTGCTTAATACAGCAGTGTTTGCTTTGGTTACATTCACTTGTGTTTTGATTACGTTCAATTGACTGCTGTGAATCATTTGCCACATTTCAACATTGGTGGTAAGAGCTCACGGACGAAGCCATCTTATGTTGTTATCTATGAATTGTTTCTACCCAGCCATTGGTTTAGTAATAGCTCTGCATATGCAGTTGCTCTTCGTGATTGAGATATGGGATTAAGGTTTTGAAAGTGAGACATCCCCTGTGTATTTATAAAAGTTGCCTTGGCCTTTTTTCTGGGACTAATCTGATAGCTGTTCCCTAAAGACAAAAAAATGGTTTAAAGCAAAAGATTCTAGTTGGAGCTATTTCCTGCCTGCCCCAGACACTATGGACTACAGATCAACACTTCCCTTCCCATTCATGGAAGAATGTATATTAACTTCTATTCCAAATAAACACAATGTGCACCCATAATGCCCCTTTAGTGATGTAGAACAACTAAAATGAGGTTTGGCAGTACAGGCCTATCTTGATTTACACTATCTTTGCTAATCCAACTGCTCCATATTTGGTAGACGGCAGCCTCATTATGTTTAATGGGCTTGGCCCCAGGTAAGCTAGATATATAAAATTGTGCAACTTCATGCTCTATTGTGGAACTGGGGAAAAAGTGGTCGTCCAACTATTGGTTTGAAATTTCGAACAGTGCTGTCTGTTGCAGTTGACGGTGAGAGATCCAGTTCAACTACTGGAAGACCATGCATTTTTTATGTTATTTCATTGCAAGGATGTGAATTAGGCTTCTCTGTGAGGAAGTGGGAGCAACATTTTGATCCTTTTCACATTGAAATATTTGTTAATGGGAAGCAGTATGTGGAGATGCCCAGTGAGGCTTGATGCAGCAAGCTTGTTCTTAAACATGGCTTGACTGGGCTTAGGAAAAAACAGTAAAACATAGTTTCCTCACTACCTCTGAGGATGCTTGCCATAGATGCAGGCGAAACGTCAGGAGAAATGCCTCTAGAACATGGCCCTATAGCCCAAAAAAACCCACAAGAACCTATAGTTTCCATTTCTGCACATCACTGTGTAATAGTGTTTTCCCTACTCCAAATGCTCATTGCCTATTTGAAGAGCAATTAAACACGTTTTCTACGTGACTGTTTTCCCATCCGACTTGAAATGAAAAATTAGACAAAGCTTTGTGTTTTGGTTTCATTTTTGTTCAGAGAATTTTTGACTGAAGGACATTGTGATTGATGTAGATTGAAGTCTGTACATATGTATAGCTAACACAATATGTTCTCCCCACCAGCTACATTTTGACCAGCTTTTATACAAAGTATGACCCAGTGCACTTCGTAATCAACACAACCTCCTTGCTGAGTGTGCTTTTGCCCAAGCTGCCCCTGTTCCATGGCGTCCGCATATTTGGCATCAACAAATACTGAAGTAACCATTGATCATTGCACTACAAGGACTGAATTCCTCCAGCGAAAAGCTGCTCACCACTCCAAAGGTCCTCATGGCAAAGCATAGATCACTCTTTGTGAAATCCTATTGAACTATGCATGACGGAGTGGGGCAGAGAGAACTATAGCTACCCACAAGAACTGAGAGGTCCTTAACTATTTATTTCATGCAAGGAGATTTAAACAATTCTCCTTGTGGCTACTCTGTGACTGGGCTGTTACCTCTTCTAAGGGAATGAAATATAACGAAGCTGTCAGGAGAACAGGGTTTCTTCTGCAAGATTTTTGCTTGAGTTGTTTGTGATTGGTGAAATAGATCAGCTTTTTTGGGGGGGGGAGGCATTTTGTGGGAACTTTGTTTTTATTTTTAGACATTCTCATTTCAAACAAGTCTATGTTTTAGGAAGCACCTCTGAATCACCTCTTGTGAAAAGCCAACTGTTAAACTGTGATGTTTTGAAATAATTCAAATTACATATGTTGATCATGCTCCTAAAAATTATAATTTTGTAAAATGTATCTGCTTTAAGAGTCATTTTCTTGTTACTGCTAAAAAGTGATACTGTATAGAATTTTGTTTCGTTGAATATTTTAAAAAAATAACCCTTCTGATTATAAAAAGAAATGTGTAAAACCATTTTAATAAAGGAAACACAGCTTTTGCCCTTGCTGTGCACTGTGTCACTCCTTTGCAATTTTCATCTTTTAGGCTTTTTTGCCTGTCTAGTTTCCCCCCTGTCTTTTCCTTGTTGTTTTTTTTTATAGCTGTAATGACTGTTAAGGAGATAGTATGGATGTCATCATACAACAGCCATCATAGGATGGGCTTTGTGATGTTCACAAAATTGATATTTGACATTGGTGTGGATAGTTAAAAAGTGAGACTTCTGAGGGTACAAAACAATTTCCCCACAAATCTTTATAAAGGGACTGAGTTCTGGACAGAAACCCGTTTTTTTCCCCAATTGTTTTTCTCACATCGGATAACTCATTTATTTATTTATTTTTTATTTTTTAAAAAAAGTTATTTTATTATTTTACTCTGACATTTCTCCCCCTTTTTCTCATTTTTCCCCCCCTTTTTTCACCACAGTGCTCCCCTCCACCCATTTCAAGCCACCCTTCTTACATTTCATCTGTCCAAAATTTCATTTCTTCTTGTGACGGTAATTTTCCTTCCTTATTTTTTAATCCATTTACCACAAATCTTCCCCATACAGCATCAAAATCGCTTTGTTTCCATATACCTTTTTTAACCTTTAATATACATGTCAATTTGTCGTTTATTGCTATTTTCCATGCTTCTTTATACCACTCCTCTATTTGTATATTCATTTCTTTTTTCCAATTCCTTGCTATAAGCAGTCTTGCTATAGTTAGTAAGTTTGTTATCGCTTCTTTATCCTCCTTTTTCAATTGCTTATCGTTTTATAGTGATAGTAATGCTATACTAGGACTTTTCTCAATTTTCATATTCATTATATCTTCTATTTCTCTAAATACTTCCCCCAAAAATTATTTACATATTTACATTGCCACCACATGTGTATATATGTTCCTGGTTCTTGACACCCTCTCCAACAATTTATTGAGTTATTTTTCATATATGCTATTCTTACCGGTGTCAAGTACCACTTCCATATTAACTTGTAATAATTTTCTTTAACTCGTATCGATAAATTTTTTAAATGTCTTTGTCCCCATAATTGTTGCCACTCTATTTCGCTTATTTTTATCCCTAAATCTTCTTCCCAAATCTCTTTAAGGGTGCACTTTTTTGTTTTTTCATCCTTCATTTCAATTAATATCTTATAAATTTTGCTAATTATACCTCTCAAGTTTTCGTGTTCTTCTACAGTCCTTCCCTTCTGTATTATTTGTTCGAATTGACTGAGTTGGCTTTCACTTCTATTATTTTTTTTCCAATTTATTACCCATTGTTCTAATTGTATACAATGAAACCATGTCAATTTTATTTCTTTAAACTCTTCCAACATCTTCCTTCTTCATTTCCACCTTCATCCAATCCCCTATCCTATCTAAATTTATTTCCCTTACCTTTTTATCCATTACTTTTTTTAAATTTTTTGGGAACTTCTTTTCCAATCACTATTAGGGTTATAATTGATCCCTCCTTTATTAACCTCCCCTTATATTTATTCCATACTTTAAGTATATTGCTCAGCATTGGGTTTCTAATTTCCCTCATTTCTTTTCTAGTAAACTGTTTAAAAAATATATTCCAAGTTTCATCTTCCACTTTTCCTGAATCATTACTAAGCCAATCTATTCCCTCTTCTTTGACCATTCCTTCTATAACCAAACTTAATCTACTTGCTTCGTAATATTTTTTTATATTAGGTAACGCCAGTCCACCCTCCTTTTGCGATCTATACCATAATTGTTTATTTAGTCTGTTCCTTTTACTTCCATTACAGTACTTATTAATCATTTGTTGCCATCTAGTTAGTTCTTCTTCTGTAATTTGAAGTGGTAGCATCCTAAATATGAAATTTATTTTTGGAAGTATTTTCATTTTTACTAATGCTATTCTTCCAAACCATGATAAGCGTATTCCTTCGTACTCTATTAACTTTTTCTGGACTTCTTTCCTTAATGTTACTACATTTACTTCCTCTATCTCTTTTAAATCCTTAGTTATTATTACTCCCAAGTATTTTAGTTTGTTCTTGATTCTTATTCCCCCTTTGCTCTGTTCTATAAGATCTTTTTCTTCTTCTCTTGTATAATTAAGTAGCATCATTTCTGACTTACTCCAATTAACTTGTAAGCCTGTTGCTTTCCCAAATATCTCCAAATGTTCTTTTATTCTATCCATTTTCTCCACTATATTTTCTATAAATAACAATGTATCGTCAGCGAATAAACTCACCTTCTGTTTCTCCTTTTTTCCTAACCCTTCTAGATTTTTGTCATTCCTTATATTATTAGCAAACAGTTCTATCACCATGGCAAATAGTATCGGGGACAAAGGGCACCCTTGTCTGGTTCCTCTAGTCACTTTTATTTCGTTTGTCACTCCATCATTTATAGTTACCACTGCCGAGTTCCTTGAATAAAATTGTTTTAATACTCCTTTTATTCTATTTCCCATTCCGAATTTATTCAATATTTCCCTTAATGTCTCCCATTCCACACAATCAAACGCTTTAAAAATGTCTAATGATAATATCCCTGCTTTTTCTTTCCTCTCTTTAGCCCAATGAATTTTATTTAGTACTCTCCCTATCAAATTTGACATTTGTCAAAGGAAGACGGATAACTCATTTATACACCCCACATTGTAAGCACATAAGAACCCCCTTTTTCCTCTGGTCCTCAAATCAGCTCTTTTATCTCTCCTTCAAACCCTGCCTGTCACATATAGATACACATCACTATCTCTTCTAAATCACCATGTACATATTTTTGATATAGGAAAATATAGGACAACTTGGGCATTGTTGGAAGACAATAAGACAAGAGTTCTTGGACTTTCTAGATATATAAACCTCACTTGCCTAGTTTCCAATATACCTCACAACCTCTGAGAATGCCTGCCATAGATGTGGATGAAACGTCAGGAGAGAACTTGGCCATACAGCCCAGAAAACTCACAGCAACTCAGTGATTCTGGCCATTGAAGCCTTTGACAATACATTGTTGGAAGTGCTTACAAATGCTATGAAAGGAACCCCACTGGTAAGATTGGGAACTAAATAGAAAGAATAGGCACAAAATCCTAAAATAAAAAACCCTACCAGGAAACCCACAGCTTTCTTTACTGCAGATATTCTGTTACCAACTGATCACCATAAGCTTTCGGAGTTATTTTACAACTAAACCAATGTGAAAATAATTATCAAGCTTATCTGACAATAGCGATGCTGTGACAGCCTTTAGGATTTGATGATTCACTTACATGAGTCACGTCTTGATGTAGGAGGCCGGTCAATCCTGTTAGTGACTCCCATATACATGAGTGCATGGGAAGGAAAATGGGGCGATTTCAGCCTGAATATCTGAGCTCCTGGTAGAAGGAAACTGTAAGTGTATTTCATGTAGAGCTCCCACCCCCTGAACATAAGACTAGTTACAAGAGCCCCTCCCAGGACTTGACAGCTTGAGGATGCGACCTGCATGTGTGATTTGGGCTTCTGCACAAACAAGATAACTAGCTAGTAATACTCCATTAAAAAAGTCAAAGTTATAGATTGAAAGGAACATGGCAGATGACAATCATTAACCAGTCTCTGAAGGTCAGTTCTATTTCTGTGCATCTTAGGTCTTACTGTAGGAAAGCCCTTGGCGCTTCATCCAGTGCTAGGGGAACTAGCTGGAAGATTTAGTTGACACCTTGGTGGTGAAAAATGGTTAGAATGGGCACGCTTCCACAACTCAAATATCTGTGTTGTGCTCATCCCTCATGTTTCCTTTGGCATTTGTGAAACAGATCATACATTCCTATCTGAAGACTGGGTTGAAGTCAGAGGCATGGCAATTACTCAGCAAATATTTTAAATAGCTATTTTTGAAGAGAGGGAGAAGATGTCTAGAGCCATCAGTCAGACACACATGCATTTACAATTATATAACAAACTTATACAGACGCACACTTTAGAAGCCACTTAGTAACAAAAACACTACTAAACACATGTGTCAGTAAGCTGCATTAGGTGGCCTATCTACTGCAGGCACACAGGAAAAGTTGTGTCAGTTCATCCCACATGCCTGAAACCACGTCATATTTTGTTCTAAGAAACTTCCAGTTGTCACCACCCACTGGGAAGAAGCCTCCATCCACTTGTCTCAATGCACTGCCTTATAGTTAAGATTGAAAGAATTGTGCTACTCCAGGAGTAGTCAATGGGCTGGTCAGTCAAGGTGGTCTTTCCCCTCCCCAGCAAACTGTACAGACAATAGCAAACATGACGAGCTCCTTCAAGTGAGGCAAGTTTGAAACAGAAAAGTCTATCACACACTTTGTCTACCTGTTGAGCCAGGCCCTGTGCTCATCACCAAGTAGAGTGGATGCAAAGAGCTGTTATAGTGAAATCCCACAAGGCAATTGCAAAGGAGGAAAATCAGGCACAGAAGGATTCTCAGTGACTCGCAGACTTAAGGTTCTTTGTCCATATACTGACAGCACGGGCCCTTTTGGTGGGACAGCCTGACTGTGCATACCTACCAATTGCCTTGTGGGAGCTGAGGACAGTGGTATTATACACACATACACACACACCTACATGAATACTGAATAAACACCTTGTGAACTAAGACTCAAATACTTGAAATGCAATTTAGTGTTTTTTATTTCTTCCTTTTAAAAACCTTCTTTGAGAAGCAAAATTTGGAATCAATTTTGTTGCTTTTTGAATGCAAGTTATATATATTTCAAAACTATCCATACAAACCATGCTAGGTACAAGGGTGGGATTTTTTTTTGTCTGCTTTTTTCCTTTTTAAAAGGAATAGTTCTGTTTTTTCAGGTTTTTTGCCCTAATTATGGAGGACAAATTGGCTACACAGAAATCACACACACAAAGTAATAAAACCCCAAAACACAAAATATAATTCCTCACAAAGTCCACACTTTATTTTTTAAAAAGTGATTATTTTGGGTTCATAAAAGGGTTAAAACTTAATATATATAATATGTGCAACTGTAAACAGAAGTATGGGACAAGGCGTCAAATGCGATTATACAGGCAGAGAACTTTAAAAAAGTTTTTAGCTTCAAGACCGGGTTATAGTTTATATAAAAATTAAAAACTGTATAGTCTTTCTTCATCAGCTAAAATCTACAGGATTATCTTAAACTCTAACCGTCATCCAAAAAAATCTTGACAATCTATTATATTCAGTCACTTTATCATTTTTTAAAATCTCTCTCAAGCTTTTAAACTTTGTAGCAATTCATTAAAATTTATTTATTTTTACATCTTTACAGCTTTCCAAATTAATGGAAAGACACACAAACAAATTGAAAGAGACAAAAATGTATACTGGCTTTAACTCAAACCTTTTTATTTTAAAACAACATCCAGTGGTTTTGTTATTGATAAAAACTCCCCCTTTTTTACACGAATTTCATCTTATTTACAATCTTAATTACTTTAATAATTTTTCATTCCCCTCCCAACTGTATTTAACCGTCATAGCTTAGAACGGTTTGCAGAAGCAGCTTTTTTAAAACTCAAGAACATGGTTCTCATCTTGCCGATAAGTTCAAAGAGAAAGATATTTATGCTCTAACCCTGATTTTTATGCCCCACTTTGCCCCCGCTATGAAAGGTAAGCCATTGCCACACTTGCTTCCTCTCTTTGCATTGTCTGTTGATCAGATGAGAATCTGAACTGCGGCCTGCTAGATTGCTCCATGGTACTCTTAGAGGCATGATGGGGGGACTGTGAGAGTTTTGAAAGCGGGGAGTGGGGAAATGGTGCAATTGTGCGTTAAAAGATCTCAACTGTACAAAGTTCATTACGAGAGCCTTATCAGCAAAGACCCTGCGACTCTTGCCACCTCCCCGCCCTCCAAAACCATAGGTTTCTGGGTACAGCAGTCTTCCAGTGTCCTCATCCAACAGCAGGGAGACTGCCTGTGTGTCTAAGACAGCTGGTCTGGGTGTGCCTGCATAATACCCACATTATGCCTCCCTACATGGGGGAAGATGCTGCTGGGCAGATGGCTCAAAAGATATTGATTATAAACTGATTTTGTTTTCTTTTTTAAAAAAGAAAGGGAAATATATATATGTATAGATATATATATATATTTCTATATACATAGAGAGAGAGAGAGAAAGCATACAGATGGGCTCTTTATGTAATCCCCTTCCTGCCCAAATTTTTGTCAAGAAGTCTTCCTCTGGCTCCCATCCTGTCAGCAAGAGGGGACAGATCCAGCCAGCAATTCAGAAAACCCTGCAGCCAGGGCATTCCTCTCTATGCTAGTTCAAATATATACACTATATATATATATATATATGTACGTACGTATAAATAGATAAATAATCCCAAACTCTGCAATGTGCCAACATCTTTCTCTCACTCATACATACAAGTTTTCAGAGCAGCAAGTTGATCACGGGAAACAAAGTAGAAACTGAAATTATAGGGAGACAAGGTTAACCGAAGGCCAGCTCTCTCCCGCGCTCCCCTGCCCCAGTTGCAAGACTGGTCACTGGCCCTTCATGAAGCACTTGCTCCCCACTCTGCAAGTAAGCAAAAAGAGGGTTTGGGCTCCACTGGAGAGCAGTGCTGGGCTTGGCATCTAGTGGTGTCCAGGAGCTTGTCATTCCCCAACAGGTTGGCACTTTCAAACCGCATCATACTTTGCAGTGTGGTCTCCACCAATATTGGTGGGTAGGAACACACAGTGCCCGTTTCAACTGTTCAGTCTGGAAGGGCTTTAGGAAACCAAACCATACTTTTTATTTCAGAAGGGGAAGGGATAATCCCAGAAAGAAACACTATGTATTTCTCCCTAGAAACTGTTCCACATGTGCTGCTGGCAGCCATAGCTCTTCATCTTCAGGAAAGAGGGCTCAAAAAGCAAAATGGTGGCATAGCGAGGGGCTCACATTAGAGAAAACAAACCAATAACAACAACATTAGCAAAGTCTAACACTTCAAATGAGGTAGGTTCAAGTGCGGATGCACCTCGCGCATGGAAGATGGGCCGAGGGACAGAGGAAGGGAAAGGCTAGGCTATTTCCATCTCCTGCAAGTCAATGCCTGCTTGCCAGTGAGAAATCACTTTTTCCAAAAAGCACATGTACACACACGATCCCCCCATCCCGATTTCCAAATCAAATACCTAAATGTATAAAAAAATCCAGAGCCAGAGAGGCCCTGGAAGGCAGATTGTCAAGCTAATGAGTCTCTTTGAAGCCTCCTGTTACCTTGGTACATTAGCAAGCAATAGATAATAGGTACTTTAAAAAAATTGTCTCACACACACACACACACAAGTTCCCAAAATGCACACACCCACACAGAAAAAAAAGGTTACAGAGTTTCCCCGGGGATCCAATAGCCATGCTGCAGCCCCCTTCCCCCAGCTCTGCTAGTTAGAATGCCCCAATCTCCTCCCAGTATATTTCTGAAGTCCATTATTTACAGGTGCGCAGGGGCGGAAGGGCTCCCCTTTTCAGCTTCAAAAGAAAAAGAAAATCTTAAAAAAGAAAACCCTGAGTTGCCAGTTTATCAGTTCCCCACCCCATGTGGAGATGCTAGTGGCTGTTGCTTCTGCTGGGGAAAAGCAGGCTGCCCTGGAAGGAGAAGGCAGCTAGGCTTGACAGCCAAAACGAGACAGCCTGATATAACACTTTAACCAAAGCCGGCGTTTAGTAGCAGATATGCTAAGGCCGCCCTGTCTGCTTCGGGTTCCAGCCATCCTTGTTGGGGTGGTCGTTTCCAATCCCGCTCTCCCTAGCAGAGATTCTCTCTGCTGAGCTGGAAGGTTGGGAGAGCCGGCGGAACAGGCCTCTCTCTCTCCTGCGCGGCTTGTGCCAGGAAGATCAAGGCGTGTCTCCCACCTGCTGCCACCTTGTTTGGAGAGCCTCCTTGGGCTAGTTCATCCATTTCCTGCAGTTCCAGGCTCCACAGTGGCAGGGGATTTTGTGCTGATCATCTTCAAAATCAAACTGGTAGTCATAGGTCAGCTGAAGAAGAGGAAGAAGAAAAGGAGTTTAAACGTGACATAAACCTTGTCTGTGGGAGGCAAACACAGAAAAAGATAGCTGGCTGGGGTTCTCCCTCCTCCTTTCTCAGAAGTAAAACAGGTTTTAAAAAACAATCAAAAAGCACAAACAAACAAAGTTAAGGCACAATTTTTCACAAAACTTATTTTTTGCACACATCCCCCCCCCACAACCCTTTATTGCACCCCCCTCCCCACAAAATGACATAAAAATGCGACCATTATGCAGTGGAATACGGTACACATCACAATCTAAATAGAGAGGCATTGAAAATAAAGGCAAGATCAACAACTTGGTTCCTACTTTAAAATCTGCCATACTTATAATGGGGATAAGGAGAATTGCTAATGTGCACATAGATGCTTTAGATCAGTGTTCTCAACCTTCCTAATGCCGTGACCCCTTAATACAGTTCTTCATGCTCTGGTAACTCCCAACCATAAAATTATTTTCGTTGCTACTTTAGAACTGTAATTTTGCTACTGTTATGGATCGTAATGTAAATATCTGAAATGCAGGATATATTTTTATTCACTGGACCAAATTGGGCACAAATACTCAATACACTCAAATTTGAATACTGGTGGGGTTAGAGGGGATTGACTTTGTCATTTGGGAGTTGTAGTTGCTGGGATTTATAATTAACCTACAATCAAAGAGCATTCTGAACTCCACCAACGAGGAATTGAGCCAGACTTGGCACACAGAACTCCCATGACCAACAGAACATACTGGAAGGATTTATTGGACATTGACCATTGACCATTGAGTTCTGAAGTTGCCATTCACCTACATCCAAAGAGCACTGTGGACTCAAACAATGATGGATCTGGACTAAACTTGGCACAAATCCTCAATATGCCCAAACGTGAACACTGGTGGAGTTTGGGGAAAACAGATCTTGACATTTGGGGGTTGTGGTTGCTGGGATTTATAGTTCATCTACAATCAAAGAGCATTCTGAACCACAACAACAACAGAATTGGGCCAAACTTCCAACACACGAACCTCCATGATTAACAGAAAATACTGTATTTTCTGATGGTCTTTGGCGACACCTCTAACACCTCCTCGTGACACCCCCCCAGGAGTCCCAACCCCCAGGTTGAGAAACACTGCTTTTGATGCATCGACTCCAGAGAAGCGTGGATATTTTCTTTGAATCCCAAGGCATGGGCTGAGGGAAGATGATAAGCCTAGATATAAGACCATATACACCCTCCTTGATGGAAGTAAGACAATGGGTATAAAATCCCCTCAGGCATTTCCACATGTAAACTCAAGTAACTCACAAGTATAAAAATACAGACAGGAGAGCTTTTTTAGAGTCTTCTACAGGCATTTTCTTCACATACAATTCATGGATAAAAGAACCCAGATAACAAGTGACTTACACCTTACACTCCCCCCCCCCCCCCCCGCTTCTTCATACACCCCACAATAATTAAGTCTCACCTCCTCTCCCTTGGGTATTCTGCGACTGGAGATTATTATTATCTTATCCTCCTTGTCAAAGGTCACAACCTCAGCCACACAATTGGGTGCACAGGAGTGATTGATGTATCTGCGGGGGGGGGGGGGGGGAGGGAGAAGAAGAGAAAAACATAAGAACAAAGAAAAATAGACCTTTTGTCACTATGGCAACCAATTTCACAATGAGACACAGCAGAAGCTCAGGCCCTTTAGCAATCTACCTTTACTTCAATATTCCCCTCTTGATGTTAGATAATGGGGGAATGTGCAGCTAGCAGGGGGACTCCTGCAAGACGTCTGAGTCTGTTTATAACGCAATGTCTTCTTCTGCTCAAATAACTTGAAAGTGGGAAGGAACAGTTAGAAGGGAAGAAAATTCCATGTGGGTTGGCAGCTCCCATGTCAGTCAATTGCTGAATCTGTTCTGTATTTTAAGTAAACTTTAAAAAGAGCTGTTCAAGGTGCTGAACCATATTCTACCCCCAACTCAGATTTAGCAGGTTGGACAGTTCCATCAAATATTAGATTGTCTCAGTGCAGGGTTGCTGTCCTACTGATACAGAAATATGAGCTACCACCCATAGTAGTGGTTGGATCTCCCAGGTCATGACCCTGGCTTTAGAGAGAGAGCATCCCAAAAGTGCTTACAACCTTGTTCCTTGGCAGTGCTGAGGTGTGAGAAAACAAACATAGTGTAGTTCTTTGAGTGGTCTTCTGTGAATTCACATCACTGGGATTAACTGCACCTGCACAGTGCACTTCAAAACCTTCTAGAGCTCTAAAACACGCTTTTTGGTGGTAGCACTGCCTCTTCCTGGCTCATGTTTAACTTGTTGTCCATAAGGACGCCAAGATCTTTTTCACATGTACTGCTGTCGAGCCAGGCATCGTCCCCTATTCTATCTTTGCATTTTATTTTTTTCTGCCTAAGTGGAGTATCTTGCATTTGTCCCTGTTAAACTCCATTTTGTTAGTTTTGACCCATCTCTAATCTGTTCAAAGAGTTTTGAATTCTGCTCCTGTCTTCTGGAGTATTGGCTATCCCTCCCAATTTGGTGTAATTTGCAAACTTGATGATCATGCCTTCTAACCCTTCATCTAAGTCATTAATAAAGATTTTTTATTTTTATTATTTATAAATTAATTTATTATTTATATTTTTTATTATTTTTAGTATATTTATATACTGCCTTTCTCACTCCTGGAGGGACTCAAGGCGGTTTACAACATATTAATGGCAAAAATTCAATGCCAACATACATATAATAAAATCAAATCACAATAACTAAATACTGACATATGACTATAAATTAAAATCATTAAAACCATTAAACATAGGCATATACAACATGTAAACACTAATACAATGCATTAAAAACATCCTAATATAAATATTACATTTGAAATATATATGATCAACATCTTAGAAAGTAACTTTTTCAAGTTTCTGCTTTAAGTCACACACTTAACCATTGTTATCAAAGCAGTACTTCCAGTCAATTTCTGCATTGGAGTTGGATGCTTGTTGATAAATAACAGGCATATGTAAGAGTGTTTATACCCTTGTGTTCCCTGGGATGGCCTGCTACAACCTGCCTGCCAAGGCCCATCCTTAACTTGGGCTGCTTGCCACCCAGGACTCCCCTTGCTAGCATGCGCAGGTTTGCACAGGTTCCACAGCTAGGTTCAACTACTCTTCAACTTGGAACCAGAGCATCTCTGTCCAAGGTCTTCCAATCTCTTCTCTAATCTGGCTACAGATGGTGGGCCATTGCTGATCGACCATACAGTGGATACGTGCTAATAGTTGTCATGGTAGTCTGTAAATCTAACTATAAATAGATTAAGAGAACTAAATGTCAGTCTTTGTATAGAGCACTTTCACAACAGAAATTTACTCACCTGGCAGGGCCACCTGTTAATGTGGCATCGATGACATGCTCATTGTTGATTCGAAACATGTAGATGCCTCGGTTCTGGAATAGGCAGAGGTGGTGAGAAATGACACTGTGAGTTTAGGGACCAGAGCAGCTGGCTATAAAAGTAGACAGTGCTGGCTTCTTTTTGCAGTCTGAATTAGTGTATGCTAAAGAAAATGTATGTCAACTCTAGACCTCAAGAGGGCCACCTATATAATTCACAGTTGAACGCAAGGGTGATTTCTCCCAGGTGCATCTTCTTCTGCCTCTCTACAATGTTATGCCTAATACATTAAGAGTCATATTTCATATAATCATGTGAACTTTGCTCACCTTCACACCCACCCTCACAATTAGGAAGGCTTAAAGAGCTTAATAGTCGAAAACTCCAATACAAACTAAAATATTTGAACTGAAAAATATTCAGTCACTGGATTTTGCCCTTCTTGCCATTCTCTGCTCAACTGGATGCATCAAAATATTCTAAAACACATATCCCATGAGAAAATGCAATTAGATGTGTGCATCGAAAAAATTTTATATATAGATTTTTATGAGGATTTTTGAAATGAAACTGCAGAAGAATATCAGCATGCTGAACAGATTAAATAAATGAAGGCTGGGGAAGGCATGTCCCTCCAGCTGCTTTTGGATTACTATTTCCATCAAGCTTAACCAGACGAGTCAAGGATTATGAACGACAGGACTTGCAGCCCCACAGTTGGAATCACAAGTTGCTCACTTCTATAACAGAGGAGCCTCTATTTTGGATCAGAAAGCAATTGATTCAGTCATCTCTAGTGCTACTGCCCCCAACACAAAAGATTGGGAAACAATTTAGAGGGAAAAAAAACATTAGAAAGTCAGCTCTTTAATAAAGAAATCTTAGACTCAATTCTAGGTCTCTCTGGTTGTGGCTCAGCAGTCAGGTCTAATGATAATAATAATAATAATGATGTTTATTTATACCCCACCCCCTCTCCCCAGGGGATTCAGGGCAGCTTACAAAATAATGCAATACAAAATGTGCAATACAAAGAATTACAAGTAATAGGATAAACAATTAAAAGACAGCCTATTTCCCATCCTAATTCTAACCTTATAATACATCAGAATGATAGGCAATTTTGCTGTATTACAGGATATTAAGCCTCAACTTCTCTGAGAGAGAGAGAGAGAGAGAGAGATACAAGCATATTCTACTTCATCAGGTCTGAATCCAACTGTAGCCTCCCTTCAGCTATCGATGACTACTGCCGGGGAACATTTGAGGCAAAGGAAACAGTAGCTTCATTTCCTGCAAACCAATCTTCTATCTGCTTAAGTTTACAAAAAACAATGAAGTGACTGTGTTTGTTGGTTCTTTTCTCCTCCCTACCAATCCATTTCCTTTTTGTCATAAATAATATGCTGATTCAGTCAGGAATTGTCTTATTTCTGATATTTGTAAGCCATGCTAAAAGTATGTTGGGGTAATGAGCAGGATAAGAATGAAGCAAATAAATATCTTGCCTTAAAGCATAGTCCTCTAAATCAGGGGTCCTCAAACTTTTTAAACACAGGGCTAGGTCACAGTCCCTCAAACTGTTGGAGGGCCGGATTATAATTTGAAAATAACATGAATGAATTCCTATGCATGCTGCACGTATCTTATTAGTAGTGCAAAAAACACTTAAAAACAATACAATAATTAAAATGAAGAACAAATATAAACTTATTAGTATTTCAATGGAAAGTGTGGACCTGCTTTTGGCTGATGAGATAGAATTGTTGTTGTTGTTGTTGTTGTGTGCTTTCAAGTCGCTTCAGACTTAGGTTGACCCTGAGTGAGGGCCGGGTAAATGACCTTGGAGGGCCGTATCCGGCCCCCGGGCCTTAGTTTGGGGACCCCTGCTCTAAATAATAATTAGTATTATCACCCCAAAGCGGATTTCTTGCTGCCTGAGCCAGAGCTTCCCCATCCCCATTAGCAAGAGAACAGATATTCCAAGCTCCGTCCCTCCCTAACCCAAGCACGTCCCATAACAGAGGTGTTGCTCCTCCTGTACCTGTTCCTCATAGATCTTCTCACGCCGGTTCGCTACCTCGTTGCGGATGATGGTGCCTATGTACTCAATGACCATTGTGTGCTTCTCCAGATCTTTGGCAGCATAGAGCCCGAGCCCCTGGATCCGGGAGCGTGCCAGGTACACATTGTTCTTCCATTCTGTCTTGAGGCGTCGATACTGTGAAGACTTTGAGTGTACAAACTGCTTGCTGTAGGGTGTGTTGGTTTCACCTGTGAATGTGCTCTGATAGGCTTTGGACATGCTGGTGCTATTCAGCGTGTGAGGCCTTCGAAAAAAGGAAGAAGAGGAGATGTTTAGCCTAACAGCAAGGGAGCAAAGACATTCTGAGGATGCTGAAGTAGGACTGGGCACTATTGATCTGCCCACCAGACCCAATGCAGGTCAAACGGCCTACTCCTTCCATCTAGAAGAGTCAAGAACTCAATTTCCAGATTTAAACTCTTCTAAAAAAACCAACGTTTTTTTGTTAAATTAAGGGACACAAGGGCCATTTACCTTAGATTAAGTGTGAAGCACAACCCCTAATATGCAATTATCCACGTTTTAACCACAAAAAACCCCAACTATAAGCAGTAGGTTCTTTTCAGGATCTACAACTGAGGTGAATCCACTATTGCAGATCTAGAAGCCACATGAATTACTGCAAAATAAATATTTGCAAACCCAAAGCGGCTGAGTCCACTTCTGATTCTTAAAAATTGCTATTTTTTTGTCAACAGTACTGAAAGGCCTGAAACCTATTTGAAAGGTGAAACATTTCACATGGAAGCTTTCTGCATGAGAAGCAATTTCATGGGTTGTGAAAAAGTTGGTCTAAGGATTTTGGAAGTATTAAAGAGCTACAAAAAAAATCTTGGGAGCCACAAGTATCCTCAGGGCTACATTTTTCCCACTCCTGATTTATAAGACGGGGAGGGGCCACTATAGAAGTAGTGATGGGGAGGGGGAGATACGGGAAAGGGAGTCACAAACAATCAATTTGACCCAAAATTCACAATAGAACATTGGCGTTTCCAAAACGATCTCCTGATTTGGTAAATCTGAGTACCCAGGTTGGTGGTTCCTCCAGCTTAAGGGCGGTGTTGTTAAATGCTGGGTCTGTTAACGGAAAGACCAACATTATCCAAGATTTAATCCTTGATGAGCAAGCAGACCTGGCATGTATAACGGGGACCTGGCTGGACGAGGCTGGGGGGGGGGGTCCAATCTCTCCCAGCTTTGTCCACCAGGTTACTTAGTAAAGCACCAGCCAAAAACTGGAGGATGGGGAGAGGGTGTTGCAGTAGTCTATAGGGATTTCATCTCCTTGATCAGGTGCTCCATCCCACAGTCTATCATGTTCGGGTGTGTCCACCTGAGGATTGGTGGCCAGGACAGAATAGGGATTCTACTAGTGTACCGACCACCTCGCTGCACTACAGTCTCCCTACCTGAGGTGGTCTCGAGCCTGGCATTGGAGTCTCATTGGCTCATAGTGCTGGAAGACTTCAACATCCATTCAGAGTCCACCCTTTCAGGAGCAGCTCAGGACTTCATGTCTACCATGGCAACCATGGGGCTGTCCCAAATAATATCAGGCCCCACTCATTGTATTGGGCACACATTAGATCTGGGATGGGAGGAAGGTGGCGGGATAGAGGAGTTAATCATCTCTCTGTTGCCATGGACCGACCACTTCCTCATCAAGTTTAGACTTACTGCACCCTTTACCCTCTGCAGGGGTGGTGGACCTATTAAGATGGTCCGCCCCAGGAGGCTCATGGATCCGGATGGATTCCTGAAGGCTCTTGGGGACATTCCCGCCTCCTCGGTTGGTGATCCTGTCGATGCTCTTGTCACTCACTGGAATAGGGAAATGACCAGGGCAATAGACACGATTGCTCCAGAACGTCCACTCTTGAGTAGCCGAGCTAAACCATCTCCTTGGTTCAATGAGGAGCTGGCAGCGATGAAGCGAATGAAGAGGAGACTAGAGGGCGTGTGGCAGAAAGAACCTAACGAGCCAAACTGAGCACAGCTGGATGCCTATTTAAAAGCATATGCCATGGCAATAGACGCTGCAAAGAATATCTTCTTTTCAGCCAATATTGCGTCTGCAAGGAACCATCCAGCGGAGCTCTTCCGAGTAGTCAGAGGGTTGTTAAATCCCATCTGCCAAGGCAGGATCCCCAACAACTCGGCAGCCCACTGTGAAGCATTTGCTCGGTTCTTCGCAGACAAAGTCGCTTTGGCCCGCTCTGGCTTTGACCCCATATTAACGGCAGTCTCTGAGGATGTAACACAAGCATTTGCTTGTCCAATTTTGATGGATTCGTTTCAATCTGTGCAGCTCGAGGATGTGGACAAGATCGTTGGAGAGGCGAGGGTGACCACATGCATCCTAGACCCCTGCCCATCCTGGCTGATAAAGGAAGCCAGAGGGGGTTTGGCAGGGTAGGTGAAGGTGGTGGTTAATTCCTCCCTGTGGGAAGGCAAGTTTCCAGCAAGCCTAAAAGGCTATTATAAAACCGCTGTTGAAGAAACCATCACTAGACTCCATCCAATTAGACAACTTTCAGCCAGTTTCCAATCTCCCCTTCTTGGGCAAAGTCCTGGAATGTGTGGTGGCCTTGCAACTCCAGGTCGACATTGATTATCTATATCTGGCACAGTCTGGCTTCAGGCCGGGACATGGTACCAAAACAGCCTTGGTCGCCTTGGTAGATGATCTACGCCGGGAGCTAGACAAGGGGAATGTATCCCTGTTGGTTCTGCTGGACCTCTCAATGGCCTTCAATACCGTCGACCACAGTATCCTTCTGGGACGCCTCAGGGATATGGGACTTGGGGGTACTGTTCTACAGTGGCTCCAGTCCTTCCCTGAGGGTCATTCTCAGAAGGTGTTGTTGGGGGACACCTGCTTGTCCTCACAACCACTGACTTGTAGAGTCCCACAGGGTTCCATACTGTTCCCCATGTTGTTTAACATTTAGATGAAGCCACTGGGAGAGATCATTCGGAGTTTTGGGCTCTGGTTACATCCCGATTAGACTACTGCAACGCTCTCTATGTGGGGTTGCCTTTGAAAACTACCTGGAAGCTTCAATTAGTCCAACGGTCAGCAGCCAGGTTGCTAACGGGAGCGGCGTACAGGGAGCGAACCACTCCTTTGTTGCGCAAGTGTCACTGGCTGCCAATTAGCTTCCGGGCACAATTCGAAGTGCTGGTTTTAACCTTTAAAGTCCTAAATGGTTCTGGCCCAGTTTACCTGTCCGAACGTATCTCCTGCTATGAACCATCACGCAGCTTAAGATCGTCAGGAAAGGCCCTGCTCTCGATCCCGCCACTCCTGCAAATGCAGTTGGTGGGGACGAGAGACAGGGCCTTCTCAGCATTGGCCCCCCATCTGTGGAACTTCCTCCCTAAGGACATCAGGCTGGCCACCTCCTTCCTGTCCTTCAGGAGACAACTGAAGACCTGGCTGTGGGCCCAGGTGTTCGACTAGAAGCATTGACTTGAGGACAATGGCAGCTTGGAAAGGAAACTTGAACATAACAACATTATGACATTGGATTTATCTGACTGGATCTTGGTTTTAGCGGCATGTTAATTGAATGTTAAATGTATTTATTGATGACTTTTATAATGTTTTATTTGAGCCTATTCTTTTAATTGAATGTATATGTTGACAGCATTACAGATGCTTATGTAAAGCCGCCCTGAGTCCCCTTGTGGGAGAAGGGCGGGGTAGAAATGAAGGAAATAATGAAGGAAATACAATGCTGCAGTATTCTTTTGATACTTCCTGAAAAGTCTCATTCAACTATTCAGAATAAAAAACAAAACTAAACATTTCTTTACATATTCTTTCAAATTAAAAAAACTAAAATGCATCAGTGAAAAGTCAAACACAGAAAAAGAACCAAATTTTGATAATAGATTGTTTCAACTATAAGATCTAGGTATTGTAATGGGGATTTTTTTAAAGAACAGAATTTGGGACTCTTAAAGCAAGATGCCTTCCTTTCAAAATAAACAAGGAAGCAGAAAATACAAGATCTCTGTATATTTTAGTTCCTGCTCAGACTACTTACTCTTTCTTTTCTAAATTATTCTTTCACTCAGTTTGGTCAGCGAAATAAAAGTAGTTACCTCATACTAGATTAGATTAGATGTGACTCTGCATATCATAGCAAGCTATGGTGAGGATGCTTGAAATAGAGTCTCGCTCATCCAACATAAATGGGTTGGCAGAATGCTGGATAAGCAAATATGTTAGATGATAAGGAGGGATTAAGGAAAAACCTATTAAATGTCAAATTACATTATGATTTTACAAATTAAGCACCAAAACATCATATTTTACAAAAAAATCAAAGAAAAAGCAGTTCAATACATGGTAACGTTATGTAGTAATTACTGTATTTACAAATTTAGCACCAAAACTCTACTGTATGTCTTATGATATGTTAAACCATCACTGCTTAAAATATCATTTGTTTAACAGGCAACTTCTTGATGTACAATTCTGGCTTGTTTGAGTTACTGTATGTCCTGTTAGGATGTCCAATGTGATTTCTTGCACTACCTACCCACTGTGGAATAAGAACTTATAAAAACATTGCTGATAAAACCAGAAAACCGGGAAAGAAATCTATTACTTGTTTGGACGCTGGTCACATAATCGAAGGTTTAAGCAACAAAGCATGGTTTATTTTGAAGTTTGAATGAAACCTATTTCTCTATCTAGGAAACTCCTAACTTACTGTTGTTCTCTATAAAGTTAGGAAGATTTGTCCTTCCCATCTTCATGTCATCATTTTGTGGCTAGAGGTACCAGAAACAAGACCTTCTACCTAAGAGTATATGCTGTCACTATCTCTGTCCCTATTCTGTTAGGGAGACCTCCGCCTTCTCAGTGAAGGCCTCTCTCACAGACGAGCAGTTCAGGTACAGTTACACTCACCGTTTGTAGTGTGTGAGGATTTTGGGCTCTGATCGAGCGCAGCCAGTAGGATTGATCATGAGTGGCAATTCCATGAGTGGATGGCGTCCATAGCGGAACAGGTAGTTCTGGCAGCTTTCTACACCAGGCAGCTAGAGGGAGAAAAGGGAACACTCCATCTTTCACAACTTTGTGTTGTACTCACATGTTAGGGACACTTTTCCTTCTATCCCACTGTAGAGCTGTCTGCTGACTGCACTCTCAGCAAAAATACCAGTTAAGAGATCCTCAATGCAAATTAATTCACACACTTTACTAAGCTAACTCAGCAAGACCAAACTCTCATTTCCACAAGACCAGCACTTTTCCGTATCTGCTGCCATTTAGTCTGGTGAAAAGATCCATAACTACGTTTCAATGCCATTGTCAGTGTCTCTGATCTCTATTTCCATTCTCTTTCCTTTCTATGATCTTGCCTCATTAAATCATCTCTCCTCTACAGAACATCTGCCCCACCAAAATTCCAGGAATCTGGTGTTTCTGATTTGATACATACGGACTCTGCAATGCGAAGCACAGCATGCACTGTCAAGCCAAAGAGCTCTTCTCCCTTTAGGTACTCTGGGAACAGTCGCAGCATGTCTGCTTCTTTGCGCATCATGGCTACTGGTTCAATGATACGGTTCCATACAGCTGTGGGAGGAAAAGAGGCAAGAAGGAGAAATGATAATGGTATCGCTTCACTCTTGCCTAAAACACTCATGCATTCTAGATTCCAAACTTAATCAAAGTATATTTTTTCACTGCAATTTTCACATTGTAGATTGTGCTATTTCAGAGATTTGTGTGGAATATATGCCTAACCCTAAAGATGGCATCAATAGCTCAGACCCACACACAATACTGTATTTCTTCATCAGTAGTTTCCCTGCAGCCTTGAAAGGTAAAGAAAGCTTCTTAATATTATTGTCCTTTCCACACTGACATATGCGGTGGGGGTACCATTATTAATATTAGCTTCATTAACAAAGGTGGCACACCAGTGATAGTCAAAAGTGTACACAATACCATAAGCTTCTGATCTTTGAATTATAGAACATGAATGATACAATATTTTTAAAAGTTTGCACATTCATACAATTTACATAGCAAGTTTTACTGCAAAATTTGGTATCTTGTGAAAACGTTAAATAATTGATAATGTTTGTGTTGTGTGTCAACTCCAACATATGGCAGTCCCATCACAGCATTTCCCTGGCAAGATTTCTTTAGAGGGGGTTTGCTATGACTTTCCTCACTGCACCTACTCCTATTTGCTAGCCACAAAATGCCTATTGTAACATTTACTATTGTTTCACAGTTGTATTGCCAAAAAGTTTCAAAAGGGGATGATATAACGCTCATAAAATTTCTATAGTGTTATATAATAAACATAACATAACCTAGAATTTAAAATGGGAAAACATTTTAGATTAATTTTAACCCCATCTATACCTAAAAGGGGGGTCCCTTTGGACTTTTGCCTATCAAAGCATTTGAAATAGCAGTTCATGCAGTCCAGCCATGAATATATACAGACGGTACTGTGTTCTCTTCTGTGGTATCCATGAATACACTAAGACCTCTTTTCCAATTTCTAAATCTGGAATTAGGAACCTGTGGCCCTCCAACATGCTGTTGAACCTCAGTTCTCATCAGCCCTAGCTAGCCTGGCCAAATATGGGGGAGAAGGGGAGCAAAAGCTCATCGATGTATGGTCAAAGGTCCTTCCCCCAGGCCTGTTTTAAATCCTGTAGCTTTGTAAATACAGTTCATTCAAATAACTGACTGGATTAACAAAGGAATACTATGACTACATTTTCCACAATGTCTCCTAAAACTTAAAACATCCTCTTTTGGCCCTCTGGGAGGAAAAAATGGATTTTGTAGGTCTGGCCTAATGGGACAGTCAGGAAAATTGGACTTAATGCCAAGATTTATCCCTACCTTGTGGTGAGGAATCTGTGAAAACTAAGTCTTCCAGACCCTGTTCTATCACTTGCACCACAAACTCGGGCCGACCATTGTTCTCGCAGATGGTGCAGCGGTAGCAGCATCGCCGGTTGTTGGTCCGTAAGCTCCAATAAATGCGGGTAGCCTCGTAGCCTACGGGATAGAGAGCGGTGGCACTGTGGAAGTCTGCCATCTGGTGGGGCAAGAGTTGCCCAATGGCATGGAAGACCAGGCCCCCAACCCGGAACATGTGGAGGCGTTCCCCACGCTGGATGATGCTGGCAATCTGCTTGACCTCGTCTCGCTCAATGTAGACGCGTCGGAAGACTGTGAAGGTGCTGAGCTCCTGGTCGCAGGGGCCCTTCAGCTTGTGCAGTGGGCACAGCATCGTCTTGTCTTTAAAGAACATGCACTTGGCCCGGATGGCACAGGCAAAGTGATACACATTAGGGCAACGGATGCGGTTGCAGCTGTTAGTGGCCCCTGTCTTCTGGCAAAGCAAGCATTTGGTGAGTAGGCCCCGGTGCAGGGCCACCTCCACATTGATGAGGGCCCCGCCTTGGGTCTCGTAAACCTCTGTGGACCAAAGGGCACAATTGAGATGCACCCACAGGTCCAAGTCCAGGTTCAGGAGGCGCGCTGGGCCGTCTGTCGCTCCGTCTCCTTCCTCATGGCAAAAGCAGCATTTCCGTAAGTCGCGTGGCACTTTATCAGGTCGAAGGGTGGTGGCCAGGCGATCAATGAACTCTGCAATCTCCCTGTCCCCATCGCGCTTGGCACCACCCTTCTGAATGGTGATGAGGAAGCGTAGCCGTTTCCAGCGTACCCCTTTCCATTTCTTCAGCCGTGGTTTATTCTCCTCGCTGTCTTCCAGGGGGCGGGAGCGTGGCTTAACCTTGGGCGGGGATGAAGGAGCTTCCTCTTTGGTGGAGGGCAACAGAAGGGGTGGAGGAGAAGGAGGCGGCGGCGGCAGTTGTACTGGAGATGCAGCAGGTGCGGGTGGTGCCTCAGGCTCAGGAACCGGCCCTGGCACCCTGGGGGGACTAGGCGGAGAGGGCGCAAAGGGGGATAAGGGTGGAGAGGGTTCTTCTGGAAGTGCCAAGAGCTGCCGTACATCTAGATTGGCAACATTGTTGATGTAACAGTGCTGAGCACTCTTCTCTGGAGCTGGACTTTCCTGAGACAGAGAAAGAAAAAAAGAAGACTCTGAAGAAGAATTTTACTCATTTTTGGAAGTAAATAGAGCCTAGAATGTAGAAGCCACACAGCATGACTGCTAAATATGCTATGTGTATGGATGGATCCAACATGGGTGCTACTTCATCACACCAATATTAATTTAAATCTAACTAGTCAGAATGCATTGTCTTTTCTCTCTTTTGTGCAGTTAAGTGAGTGAGAGGTGACGTGGGGTAAACTAGAAATGGTATGAAAAATGATTCACTCACATAAAAAAAACACAGAATCCCACTCCTTTTAAGAATGAAGCCTTTCACAGAATTACTGAAAACCAGGAAATCACTTTTTAAAAATGCAAATTACTTAATCAGCACCCTGCCCTGATTCCATAGGTTTAACCTAACCCACTACACCCACTCAAATGTTGACCTTGCCACTCTTGGCTGGTCCCACTGAAGAAGGACAAAAGCATTCTGGGAAAACACCCTACGCCTTCCTCTACCTGCTTAAGCAAGGTCAAGATGTCCAACTCATTTTTGAGGCTGTAACCAGGAAGCATGGCATCAAACTGTTTCAGCCACTCTGGACCACCTTCTGTACCCTTTGGGGTCACTGGCTTTTCTTTGCCTTAGAGAAAAGGGAGAAAAATTACAAGGATCTTTATGTCAGCAGTGAAGGAGCCATAAGGACATTTTATGAAAGACCTGTGACCCAGATGAGGGTACCTACCCTGTGTGTCAGCTTCTCCTTTTCTGGGTTCATTGGTTACACTCCGCATTGGGCTGTCTGGGAACAGCACCTCATAAGAACTGGGGATCTTCATGCTTAACAACTCTGCCACTGCCACCATGACCCCATTTAGGTTCTGGGAAAAATGTGAAACGGTAAGGAAAGAGTACTGGCTGCCAATCCACAAAAAATCTGATCCACATGGTAAGCTATGACCACCGCTCAATCAGAACTTAGGGAACATGCTCCTTTTAAAAACTACAACTCCAAGAACCCCCAGCAATGAGAATGCTGGTTACCAAGTAAGGAGTTGTAGTTTCTCCTCACCAGCCCCTAAGAACCCTCTTCCCAAGCACCTCAAGTATTAGAAGAGAGAAAATATTTGGGCCTTTCCCAATTGTGACCTGCCAAGGTGAATACAGGACACCTGCAAGGAACTTGACAATTTGCTATCCACAAGGGAATCACTCTGAGTGCTGGCTGCTGGGACACCAAACCATATAGTGTATCACCACGTGTGGTGGCTTCACAACTCCAGGTATTCTTGGACGACACGGATTATCTGGATCCGGCGCAGTCTGGCTTCAGACCGGGACATGGAACCGAGACAGTCTTGGTCGCCTTAGTGGATGATCTACGCCGGGAGCTCGACAGGGGGAGTGTGTCCCTGTTGGTTCTGCTGGACCTCTCAGCAGCCTTCGATACCGTCGACCACGGTATCCTTCTGGGACGCCTCGCGGGAATGGGCCTTGGAGGAACTGTCTTACAGTGGCTCCGGTCCTTCCTTGAGGGTCGATCTCAGAAGGTGTTATTGGGAGACACCTGTTCTACCTCACAACCATTGTCTTGTGGGGTTCCTCAGGGTTCTATCTTGTCTCCTATGTTGTTTAACATCTACATGAAGCCGTTGGGGGAGATCATCCGGAGTTTCGGGGTACGGTGTCATCTGTACGCAGATGATGTCCAACTCTGTCACTCCTTCCACCTGCTACTAAGGAGGCTGTCAGGTCCTGAACCGGTGCTTGGCCGCTGTAACGGTCTGGATGAGGGCGAACAAATTGAAATTGAATCCAGGCAAGACAGAGGTACTCCTGGTCAGTCGTAAGGCCGAACAGGGTATAGGGTTACAGCCGGTGTTGGACGGGGTTACACTCCCCCTGAAGACGCAGGTTCGCAGCTTGGGTGTGATCCTGGATTAATCGCTGAGCCTGGAACCCCAGGTTTCGGCGGTGACCAGGGGAGCATTTGCACAATTAAAACTTGTGTGCCAGCTGCGCCCGTACCTTGGGAAGTCTGACTTGGCCACGGTAGTCCACGCACTGGTTACATCCCGTATAGATTACTGCAACGCTCTCTACGTGGGGTTGCCTTTGAAGACGGCTCGGAAGCTACAAATGGTCCAACGATCGGCAGCCAGGTTGTTAACAGGAGCGGCACTCAGGGAGCACACCACTCCTCTGTTGCACCAGCTCCACTGGCTGCCAATTTGCTACCGGGCACAATTCAAAGTGCTGGCTTTAGCCTTTAAAGCCCTAAACGGTTCTGGCCCGACCTATCTGTCCGAACGCATCACCCCCTATGAACCAGTTAGGACATTAAGATCGTCCGGGGAGGCCCTGCTCTCGATCCCGCCAGCCTCACAAGCACGGCTGGCGGGGACGAGAGACAGGGCCTTCTCAGTGGTGGCCCCTCGGCTGTGGAACGCCCTTCCCGCAGACGTTAGATCGGCCTCCCTCCCTGCTGGTGTTCAGGAGAAGAGTGAAGACCTGGCTCTTTGAACAGGCGTTCAATTAAGCAGTGCAATCAATTGACTGAGTTTGGAACTTGGAATAATGGACGAGGAGATCGGATTATGACTTTACTGATGAGACGTGTTGGATTAGTTATATGGATGTATTGATGTCATGTTGATTTACTGATGTATCGTTGTATTGTTTTAGTTGCTTTAGTTATTGTTTAAATGTTAATGCTAATGCTGTGCACTTTGTATATAGACCTGTTGTAAACCGCACTGCGTCGCCTACGGGCTGAGATAGTGCAGTATACAAATAAAGTAAATAAATAAATAAATAAATAAATAATATCAACGGCTTAATTTTGATTAGAAAAAAAGTCGTGCTGGGAACTTTGGCAATTTTCACGTAGGGATAGTTCCACAGAAGTGGCATCGTTCATGATAGCAACATGATGACAGTTGGCAAGTGAGGACCTCACTGCCTCTGAAGTGGCCAGGTATCCTGACTTTTGGGCTGGCACCTTTCTATGTTGGTTCTATACCTTGGCAGCAGCTGCAGATACTGTGAGCATGACTGAGACCTCACTGTTCTTGGCTTTGTTCCAGGAAGTGCCTGGTGCCCCCTTCCCCACTTGCTCCAAGGCTCCGTAGTTCTTGGCATCTGGAAAAGCTAAGAAGGATGGAAGAAGAGAAAATGGTAAGGGTCCAAAATGAACACACACTGCAGCTCTACAGCCCATTTTGGAAAGTGTGGGGCCTTTTTATCACCTGACCTCATAATGACTTTTAGAATTAACTCCATGTCTTAGAGGAGAGCCTTCCTTTGTTCACTCATGTCTTGCAAGCCTCCCATTAGCAACTGGTTGGCCACTGCCCAAACTGAACTAGATGGCCTTTGAACCTGATGCAGCCTGGATCTCTTTTTATGTTTTTACCCATGTAATGCTTGGCATAATTTCCCAAATCCTCTATCTCTACCCCCACAAACCTGGAATACTGGCTTTTGGTATTATGGGTATCACAGGGGACAATGAGCGCTCCTCCAACTCAGCTTTGGCTCCAACCAGTAGCGGAAAGCGTGGCACCTCTTCTCCCAGGATACTCTCAGGGGATGATGCCGGGACGATGCTATCAGGAGAGTCACTTTCGTCATCACTCTCCATTCTGGAAATGAATTAGGAGGCTGGTTATATGATCTAGGAACATCTCTGCTCCTAACCCATCCTAGACATAGCCTATGCATCTTCTGTGATGAGAGGAACCAACCCAACCAAATCCAGGTTATTCCCTGCCTGTGTGAAGAGGCCCAGAAGTTCACCCAGAAATTTCCAGCTCCTCCCCCAACAGTGTGCCAACAGTTCCTAAAAGCTGCCATCTTGAACCCCACCCCAGGATTTATCCCATGCTATAGGCAGTACAATTTAGCCCATTTGCATAAGAATTTGAAATGGATTTCTGTTTTGGGCTTATCTTGCACTCCTGCTCTAACCGTTCCCCATCTTTACCTAACATCCTCAGTCTGGTTGTGTGGTGGTGTGGGCAGAGCCGCCAAAAGGTCTAAGCTTTTCACTTCCACAGGGGGAACATCTGAGAACAAAATACAAGAAATAAACAGTTGAAATGCTGGACAAGATCACAGGTGCTTGCATGGGTTTCAGCACAAGGAAGAAAGAGTGACCAACATGGGTTGAATTTGTTACATCAGTCCAATCCTTGGTTTTAATGGTAAAATAAACTGAGGGAAATCAACCCTTCAAGGGGGAGCAGCCTGACTGCACAAAACCGGAATTTGTTTATCAGCTCCTTAAAAACTGGAACAAACTACTGGCACTGTGAGTACCCCATAACCTGCCTTGCTAGACACAGGTAACCTTGATAAGCCAGATAGCCTTGATAAGCCAGAGGCTTCCTGGACCCTCCCCTGCCCCTTTGGCATCAGCACTAGCCTTACACATGGTGGGTTTGGGATGAAGAGTTCTTCTTGATAAAGAACCAGACAAAGTGAAGGTCCAGGACAGAGGATTTGGACCCTCATTTTGCCTGATTGTCTTTTAACAAATTGAGCCTGACAATGATTGAGTGATACCCCAAAAGGGTGGCACAGCACTGTGAAACTAGAAAGACAAATGTACTGTCACTACTCAGGGTTCCTCTGTTTTGGAGGCACCACTGGGAGCTCCAGTTTTTCTGAGAGCAAGAAACACCGGGTTACTTTGCTGGCCATATCTCTAAGGCTGCGCCTATTAGAGATTGGGATGGCAGTCTAACAAATAAACGCTGTCCAACTGCAAATATCCCCATTTTGATAAGGTGCTTAAGCAAGGAATTTAGCATGCCTCATCAATGAACCAAGGGTATGCTCTTCTCATGAATAAGGCTGCAAGCTCCATAAAAGCCCAGTGATACAGTCAATGATAAGGGATTATGGGAGACAAAGTCCAAAACACTGAAAGGGCACCAGATGGCCTACCCATAATAATAATAATAATAATAATAATAATAATAATAATAATAATAATATTTTTAGTCTGCCCTCTCTCCCAAAGGGACTCAGGGCAGTTTACACACAGAGGTAGGCAAACATTCAATGCCTTAAAAAGTACAAACATGATAGACTCATTTCAGTCCAGATTCATGTTGACGTTGGGCAATGAACATGTCTTTGTTGCCCAGCTGCATGACCTGCAAAGAGCAACAGAAACTTGCTTTGGTTCTCCCTCTGGCTTTTGATATCCTCATGCTCCTATGACTATTCTGAATAGAGACCATGTTTTTTCCGTTGTCAAGTGGTTTCCACAAAGTGATATAAGGACAGGAAGTAACATGCTATTTGTTGCCATGGCATTTATACTATGAAAACTGTGCTACAAGGATTCTCTTTCGCCTTCATGGTAACTCACATCTATATAAAAGGATGTATGTGCTTTGGGCTCAACCTGCGTTACACCCATTTCGTATGCTTTGGCAGTTTGCTCATTAGCTCACAAAATAACAGCTGTAAATATTTTGTTCTACCTATGCTTCTGCTAGAACAATTTCCATGGGACTCCCTTGTAATTTTCTAGAAATAGACCAGGGTCCTCCTGCGTATACTTAGCTTCAGCTTGGCTGCAACATTCAAAACCGTGCAAGAGCACCTATGCTTGTCAGTGGGCCTTACCCTTTTGCCCTTCAGGTTCACGGCGTGGCAGCACAGTTTCCTTGGGCTGCTCAGTCAGCTCCTCAGAAGACAGGACACCATTCACAAGCTTTTGCTGCACAGAGGGTGGTGGGGTGGGGGGCAGTGAAGAAGGTGGCGTTGGCGGGTTGCTCAGGTTGTTCTAGACAGAGATCGGAAGAGTCAGTGGCCACCATGGCTCCCCCTTTCCCATCCATTCTTCCTTCCCCACAGTTCATGGAACACGTGATATCACTTTCCCCACACTACATAATTTCCACAGTTTATTCTCTGAGAGCAAGCTGCCCAGAGAACTTTAAAAACACCAACTAGGGAACGGCCAACCAATCATGCAAAATTCAAAATTCAAAACATCACCCCTCAACAGAGCTTCCAGACTATTTGACACCTTTGCCTATACATTTAATGAAGGGTGTATGGGATAAATAAGGCATGGGCAAACTTCGGCCCTCTAGGTGTTTTGGACTTCAACTCACACAATTCCGAATTGTGGGAGCTGAAGTCCAAAACTCCTGGAGGGCCAAAGTTTGCCCATGCCTGGAATAAATGCTTCCTTCAATGAGATTTGCTGGGTAACTCTATGCCATTTCAATCCTGGGTGAAAGCATTCTTAGCATCCCAGGTTTTTTAAACTTCTGCCAATCTTATTGTCTGTTAGTCTTGCTGTATTCTATTTTTGTTGTCAAGTTGTTTTATTCTTTCTGGTATTATTGTTCTTATTTCTTACTTTTATCAGCCACTCGGGGGATATGAAGTTATTGAAACTTGGAAGCATGTTACAAAAATTCTTTCAAAATGCACCCACTATGCATAGATAAAGGATTTCTAGTGCAAAATCTATCTTGTGATCTTCTGTGTCTCAAGTTCAAGTTTGTGCCCATCTCTGCTCCATTATCCAGGGATAGGTAAGGTTTTTTCAGTGAAGGGCACACAATCTGCTAACAAGATGTTGGTGAGCTTGGTGACATCTGGAATCATGGCTCTACCCATGATGTCCAAGATGTGGCCATTTCCATTCTCCTCAATGGCTGAGTGAGACCATACAACTGACTCCTTCTGCAAGGCTGTTCCTGCAACTGGTGCATATAGATGGAAGAATCTTTGTTCACCCTCCACTTTCATCCACTGAGAAGGACATAAGACACATGAAGCATTTTCCTACTGCTGTCTCCAATCACCTTTCCAACTATGACAGCAAGAGAGCTGTGTTTTTTTTTTAAGGGGCGTGTTTCTAATGTAAACTCTAATGCAGTGGTTCTCAATGTTTGGTTCTCTAGGCGTTTTGGAGTTTAGCCCCCACAATTCCTGAGCTGGGGGAAGCCACGGCCAATAGAGAACTCTGGAATGGGCTGGCCCATGAGGTCACGAAGAGTCAGAAGTGACTGAACGAATAAACAACAATTCCTAACAGCCAGTAAGTTGGCTGGGATTTCTGGGAATTGAAGTCCAAAACACCTGGAAAACCAAAGATTGAGAATCATTGCTCTAATGCAGGGGTCCTCAAACGTTTTAAACAGAGGGCCAGGTCACAGTCCCTGAAACTGTTGGAGGGCCAGTTTATAATTTGAAAAAAACATGAACGAATTCTTATGCACACTGAACATATCTTATTTGTAGTGCAAAAAACACTTTAAAACAATACAATAATTAAAATGAAGAACAATATTAACAAATATAAACTTATTAGTATTTCAATTGGAAGTGTGGGCCTGCTTTTGGTTGATGAGATAGGGTTGTTGTTGTTGTTTTTGTGTGTGTTTAAGTTGTTTCAGACTGAGTTTGACCCTGAGCGAGGGCCAGGTAAATGACCTTGGAGGGACCCTGCTCTAATGGAATGCTACTCTTACCTCCAATGTTTTTTGAGATAACATAAATCCTATCAGTGGGATTGTGTGTCTTAGAAATGCAGCAGAACATGAAGGCAGAAGCAGGGAATCCCATACATGTTAACGGATCAAATGGGGAACCCTTGAAGACTAGATAAGGATCAAGGACTAGGCAGTCTGCACTAGAGCAATGTTGCAGAGCTTGAAATGAAGAGGAAAATCATGACTGTAGAGCTATGTAAATGCAGCAATGAATTTAGGCACATGTTTAAATCAAGTGCTTCCATAGCTCCGCCACTTGCTATGAACAGCAAATCTAGCATCTCCCCTTCCCCACCAGAAGCAGCACAGGGATGGTCATACCTTGGTGAGCAGCTGTGAGTAGTAGTCTGGAATACTGTCCAGGGCAGCGTGACCAAAAGAGCCTTTCAGTTGGCTCTTGCCATTAATGGGAGTGCTTCCAAAGGGAGGGAAAAGATTGAAATTGGCTGTGATAACAGGTTCCATAAGAGGCAGCAAGGAGAGTTCCTGCACAGGGAAAGAGAATGCCAAATGAAGACACTGTGCATCATCACATCACTTCCTAAAGGCCATGCTTTTTGACGGAATCAGACTGCTCTTGGGAAGGATTTCATCTGCTTTCATAGGATTATTATCTCCCACAGACAATTGCTACTGTTACATGTATGCAGCCACACTGGCTATGAGAGGCAATCTGCCATAGTCCTGTGCAGTGTGTGTTCATGAAGAGGACACAACATATCTCACAGGAAGGCTTCCTACAACCACACTTTCTTCTTGATAAGCTGCAAGTACAAGACTGACAAAATGCAGGCAAATCCTGATGCAACAAGGCTTCTGAGAGAACCAGGCAGCCCATTCTTTCCTGGTACTCATCTGTGATGCTTGGGTCTTGCTTGTTGAAAAAGATACTGCATTGAGTATTAGAATGAGATACAAGGTATTACAGTGTAAGTGCATGAGGTTCCAACACATTCGATGAAATGTTTTGTTATTTTGAGCACCACAGCAAAATCACCTTCCACCCTCAAGAAGCTCACATGGAGGGGAGGGCTACAACAGTTAATCTGCATTCTCTTCCCCGGCAAGCAAGAGACATAACCTGCACGGCCTCAACTTTAGCCACTAAGGGGATAATTTACTTACACACATCATAGATTTTTTTTCCATGTCAGGAGTGATCTGAGAAACTATAGGTATAGTTGTGTGTAACTTGCAAGATCCCTGCTGATTTATGGCAGCCCCGTGAATTTTATGAGGTTTTTCTTAGATAAGGAACACTCAGAGATGATTTTGCTAGTTCTTTCCTTGGAAATATAGCATTTCCTTGGAAATATAGCACCCCCAAAAGAAATAACTATGTTTTTCACCATGACAGAGGTTATCTACCCTTTGTCCTCCAAACAGTTGGATTCCAACTCCCACTATCCTTGACTACGGGCAGGGCTGCCTAAACACATGAGGAACTGAAATCCATAACAGTGGGATCCTTTCCCCTTATTTTCCTCTTGTTAGCATGTATAGAATTAGACAAGATGAAAAGGGGTAAGAAATAGCTATGCACAATTATATAGATAAGAACAAAGAGCAAGTTAGATAGCAGCCGCAGCCACAACAACAACAACAACAATAATAATAATGCTGCCACAACGGCAGAAGGAGTGATAGCTGCAGAATAAGCAAATTTTCCCTGGGTTTTAAACAGGGAAAGACTGAAGAAGAAGGGGATTTAAATACAACTGGAACAGTAATTAACCAGTAAGTAACCTTTGCATATTGTGAAAAACATTGAAATTTATCCTATGTACCTTCCCCTTCCAAGAAAACTGCAAAATTCTAAGCTGCAGGTAGAAAATACCCTCCCTTGTTGTCTCTTATGGAAGGCACTACTTATTTCTCATTTTTGTTTTTTGTAAAGGAATCCCAGACTCTCAGAGGAAACTGGAAGTATTTCATAATTTATTTTACTCAAACCTTTCAACCAACTGCCATCTGGGAAATGAAGAGTACCTGCTTCAGTTGTTTCATCAGAGCCTCACTGGACTTCACTCCATCTTCTTTTCGCAGCTTTTTGCGGGAGTTGGCAAGTCGCTCTCCAGCTTTTTGAGATCGCTTGGGCTTTGGTGGTGGAGGTTTCTTTGCCATTAGTGTATCCTGTAGAGTCCACCCCAAAATAGAACAGAAATTAAAGAGGGAGAAAGAAAAGGATTGTGAATTCTAGCTCTTCCACAAATCTATCTAGGATTCGATGAGTATTTCCTGGGAGATCCAATGGGATGAAAATCTGAGTCAATTTACTCTAAATTCTAAACACAATGGACTCTGCTACCTTTGGACTGCAAAGGAAGAGGAAGTATGTGCTTGAATGCAACCTCATGTAAACTAACTCCTTGCTGTAGCTAAATCATCACATTAGGTAGCTGTGTTTTGAAACACACTATCTCGATTTAATCTCCAGCTTTGTTAAATAAAAGTATTGGCAGTATACCATATTAAAAGCTGGCTTAAATAGCCCAAAGGCACCAGATTCCATTTGATCTTGGAAGCTAAGGAGGAAACAAAGCTAGTGTTCTTTACAGCAACCCAGGGAATACGCAGTGTAGACTACTCTTAAGAGTAAGGATCTATGTAGTCATTCTGGAAGAAAACAGGCAGCAAAATGCTTTGGACTAGTCCTGCTCTGGGCTCAGTCTGTAAAGACTGAATCTCTTGTGGTACTTTACAGACGGAGCCCAGAGCAGGACTAGTCCAAGGCCTTTTGCTGCCTGTTTTCTTCCAGAATGTATTTTTTATAAAACGTTAGCTGCACTGGTCATACGAAACATTCCAAAATCCTTATTACAACAATGCTTTTTAAAACCAATTTTTATATTTAACAAAACTGGATACTAAATCTTAGTGATATCGTATCCTAAAAATACACTATCTCGATTTAATCTCCAGCTTTGTTAAATAAAAGTATTGGCAGTATACCATATTAAAAAGCTGGCTTAAATAGCCCAAAGGCACCAGATTCCATTTGATCTTGGAAGCTAAGGAGGAAACAAAGCTAGTGTTCTTTACAGCAACCCAGGGAATACGCAGTGTAGACTACTCTTAAGAGTAAGGATCTATGTAGTCCCTGCTCCTGCATTAGTGAAGAGAAAATTCATCCAAAACTTGATAACCCTGTCAGTGAAGCTTTCTGACTGAACAGTGAACTGTCACTTCACAGTTATATCACTTTCCATCCACTCCTTTCATACTCACGTCTCGCCCCTCTGGTGCCACCTGCATCCGGCTCTCCACACCAGCCAGCTTGTTGTCCATGTGACCGTTGACATCACCGGAGCGCTGTGTGGCAAGTGTCACATTCTTGGCCCTGAGCAACTTTTGTAGCAAGAGGTGGCTGGCTTCAGTACGTGTGAGGCTGTTTGCTGCTGTGGGGATGGTAACTGAAGCTGACACAGGATCCCCGTTGGCCTCCCGCTTGACCGACTGGACGCTGCTCATCAGGGCACACTGAGCTACTTCTTCCTTGGGTTCCTGCTTGATGCACACAAGGGGAAGGTCCCCATGAAGGGATGGGACCCGTCTTACTGGAGGGGAAGCCAATCTACCTGCCTGCCCATTGACTGGCCCCAGCTCCACAGGCTCTTTGGTGGGGAGGCCCCCTGAGTCTCTGAGGCTGCAGCTTCCAGGAACTGTCTCCCCTGCACTCTGGGTAGCAGTAGCAGTGGAGTCATGGGGTAGCACAGGACTGGGAACAACAGGCTGGTGTTTCTGGGTGGGAACAGGCTGTAGTTCAGGGCTTTTTGCCAGCAGCAAAGGAGATGGTCTCTTTGGCTCAGAAGGGCTAGGGTGCAGGTGCTGCTGCGGAGATGCCATGCTTGGGGGCACAGTGGAAGCCTGTGGAGCTGGAAGCCTTGGGGCCCCTTGTTGGTATGGGCTGGTGGTTGTCTGTTGGCTTGGTGGGCCCCTGTGCTGTTCCACAGATGCCACAAAACTCTGCTCTGGGTGAACCTGGACCATTGCAACAGCAGGCTGTCTGGGTGGGGGCTGCTGCCCCATAGTACCAGGAAGAGAAAGCTGTTGAGTGACTGGCTGGCCTTGCTCAAGTGGTACCTGCCCCTGAGCTGGGTATTGGCCGGCTTGCCGCAATGCTTGGTTCTGCTGCAGCAGGTTCTGCTGGTGTCGTTGCATCAACAGGGCCTGCAACTGCTGCTGTTGCTGAGGGGTGAGGTGACGTAACTGCGGGTTTTTGGAGATGACACCTTGAAGCTGGGCACGGATCTGGCCCATCATAGGGCTGGACAGGATGCTTTGGCTTTGTGATGACTGCTGGACCATCATGTTTTGTTGTTGTTGTTGCTGCTGCTGCATTGGCACCATTAACCCTGGTGTTTTGGAAGCCCCAGCTGGGCTTGGAAGGCGGTGCTGTTGCTGCAGCTGCTGGAGTTGCTGCTGCTGCTGGAGAGGAAGCTGGCCTGGCAAGCTTTTTAAAGGTTGGTCCAGGTTCTGCCCTATAATCCTTTGCTGTTGAGCCATAATGTTCTGCACTTGACCTTGCTGCTCCATCTGCTGGTTTAGCACGTGAGGAGTCTGGATTGCATCACGATGGTGATGGAGATGTTGCTGCTGTTGGGACATCTCTGACTGCAAAGCACCATCCACAGAAAGATGAGCCTGCAGAGGCTGCTGCAGGTGGTTGTTTTGCTGCTGTTGCTGCTGCTGTAGGTGACTGCTTTGTTGCTGCGACTGTAGGTGGCTGCTTTGTTGTTGTTGCTGCTGCAGGTGGCTGCTTTGTTGTTGTTGTTGTTGCTGCTGAAGGTGACTGTTTTGCTGTTGCTGCTGCAGCCTTAGCTGCAGGGAGCTCAAGCTATTCTGCTGCTGAGAGCCCAGGAGAAGCTGCTGTGCCTGGTGGCCCATATCAGCTGGTGGTTTCTGCTGCTCCCCATGTTGCTGCAGCATCAGCTGAGTTGAAGGCTCTTGTAAAGGGGTCCCACGGCTGGGAATTCCCTGTTGCTCTTGCACACTCATATGCATTTGCCCTCCCAGGTCCTGTCCTACCAAATGGGGCCGAAGTTGCTGCTGCTGTTGTTGCTGCTGTACACTCTCTGTCCCCTCCTGAGGCAGCCCTGTGATGCCTTCCGACCCTCCCTGCTGTTCCTTGGCAGCCAGGCCCTGCTGTGATGGAGCTGGCTGTATTCCCTGACCTGAGTGCAGCACCTGGTTCAGAGACCCATGCTGTGAAAAGTGCTGGATTGGTTCTGAGGCTGTGCCTTGCCCTTGGCTCAGGATGCCTGGTGGAGCAGTCTGACCCTGTCCCAATGGCCCTCCCTGCTGAGCAGCCGGCCCCTGGCTAAGGAGGGCCTGGTGTTGTGCTATAGAGTTTTGCTGCTGATGCTGGCTCAGTAAGGTCCTCTGCTGCTGGCCAAGCAGCCCTGGTTGCTGTTGCTGTTGTTGAGGGGACAAAAGTATCCTGTGTCCCATCATCCCTTGTGCCTGCTGCTGCTGCTGTTGATGTGCCAGCTGCTGAGGAGAACCCAGGGTTCTGTGCTGTTGTGAAGCCAAGAGCATTTGCCTTTGAGAAGCTTGTGAGTGACTCATCACACCCTGATGTGGCAGCATGGAGTGTCCCAGCATCGTTTGCTGTTGCTGAGGTGACAGCTGCTGGACCATGACTCCTGGTTGGTTGTTCTGCAACCCTTGCTGCTTTGAGAGCAAGTTCTGGCCTGGCTGTGGGGTGGGAGGTGGAGGGGGTGGCTGGCCCATCAAATTTGCCTGGTTTAGAGTGCTTTGTGGTGGTTGCTGCTGTTGCTGCTGCATAGATATCTGTCCCATCAGGCTTTGCTGTGGATGCTGCTGCTGCTGCATTGAAACTTGTCCCATGAGGTTTTGTTGCTGTTGCTGCACTGGAATTTGTCCCATGAGGTTTTGCTGCTGTTGTTGCATCGGCACTTGTCCTATGAGGTTTTGCTGCTGCATCTTCTGTGCCAGTTGCAGCCTTTGCTGCTGCAGCTGCCTCTCTTGCAAGAGACGGTTACTAGGGAAAAATGTGTTGTTGGCCCCAGCTGGCTGTTGCTGCCCCATGAAAGGTAAGCCCTGCTGCACTGCCATTGCAGCCTGAGGGAGGCGCAAGCCACTTGCCTGGCCTGTGAAGCCTTGGGGTCCTGGCTGGAGGCCATGTGCAGAAAGGAGCTGACTAGGAAGCTTGGCCATGAGGCGAGGACTTTGAGAGGGACTGAGGGCCAGAACAGTGGAAGTTTGTTGCTGATGCTGCTGTTGCTTGTTGCGGTACTCTGTCATGAGGTTAGTGTGCTCTTTTTGCTGTTTCCGGACCTGTCAAGAGATGTTGGAGGAGAGGACAAGGAAGCAAAGGGAAAGTTAATGTAAGCAAACAATCTCTCTCTTTCCCAGAGGTAGACAGTGATGTTTGTAACTTTTTGGGACTGCACAACCCCTTGTTGTTGGCATCCTAATTGGTTTATGGGAGCTGAAGCTGACAGACAGCTGGGCAGCATTAGGTTGTCAATTTTTATTTAACTATTTCCCAAGAGGATAACCGTTTATTCAAATATCAAAGACTACAATTGCAAGATATATTTTTAAATGCAAGCCAATGTTCCTAGAGTACTTAGCAGTTTCTTCATCTTCTATTTATTCAGTGATCAAATGGCCCATGAGATGCAGAGATGCCGGAATCTAATAGGTATGCTATTTCCATCCCAAACTCCACAAGCACTTCTGAAAAGCAGCCCATCCCAATACATTCTTGAATGCCCTAGGTTTGTTTGTGTGCATGTGCATGTGAGCACATGTGTGCACTCCCCACTTAAAATCTGCTTTGTCCTAATATCACCAATAGTACCCCACACTCTGGGAGAGAGAACTGGCCATTTGTCATGTTAAGGGCATTTGGAGGTCTCTCTGGTTTTGAAATGCCCAAAGGACTGAAAAATTGGCAAAATGACTAGCAGTACCTTTTCCTCAAGACCTGGGGAGCACTTTTTGCTAACTGGGGGCAAACATGTTCATCTCCTCCTCCCAAAATTTGGAATGGGATGCCAATGGGAAGGTGCAGCCCTCCAGGGTCCCATGAGCAACAATATAGTTCCCCAAACCATGGTAGCAGCCCACTTTCTTCTAAACTGGCAGAAGCACATACTTGTTTGAACAGTATACCTGATCCAATTGCTTCTGGATCTTGCTCTGCTGCTCTGTCACCAGCTTGAGCTTCTCAGCATCGGCCTCCGGGAACTCACGGCCAGCCTTCTTAGCAGTTCGCTGCTTGGCACACAGAGCCTTGCGGGACTTGCGGTGCACACCAATTTGCTCCTCCAGCACCTTCAGCTGCATTTGGAGGAGCTGCTGTGTGTGAAAGAGCCACTCCTCATACTGGCGCTGATCAGCATCATCTGTGGGGTGAGAAATGAAACCCTGATGTTGATAAATGGACCCACTTTAAGGTCATACTGTGTACAGAAAGCACCATCACCTTCATCTGCACTCAGCCTTCCATAATTCTATCCAGAATGTGCACATCTGCTTATTTGGCATTAAGGTTGCCCATAGATAGAGACCTTGGGGAAAGACTATACAGAGCTCATCTTACATAGGCAAGATGCAGTGTTAAAGGAAGGAACACAGGGAGAAGTGTGGGGAAAGAAACAGGAATGAATGTCACTAACACATAAAGGTCACAAAGGAGGACTACACTAAGGCACTTGCCATCCCTTTGCTGTAATGCCCCAAGACACTGTCTCCATAGTTTTAATCACAATGTGGCCAATCTATGGGTCTACAAGTCACCAGTGTGCAGTATGAATATTGGCAGGCATGGAGACTCTTAGGCCTTCCATATGTTTTGGACTACAATGCTTACAATTCTTCACTTTTTGTTATAATGATAGCAGTTGTAACTTTAATTATTTGAGAGGTGGGGGGACGACGACTAAAGATTAATCATTCCCGACCTATGGCATTCAAGGCAATCTAGGAAACTTCTGGTTGATCATATTAAGAATGCCCATTAATCACCACTTAGAAATATTTACTAAGTAGATTTTGGATACACATGCTTTTTGCAGCTACAAGATTGTTAAAAAGAGTGAGTGAAGACTGAATTTTCCTAGTCTCCTTTTACTTTCAGTCAACACAAGTAAGCATTCCCATATTGGTGTTTCGAACTGCTTCATAATCAGAAAGCATTACTTATTTCAGATCAGTGTGAAATGAATATGCAACAGGGTATGTAAGAGTCCGGCTGGGTAGGAAGTGGCTTGACAGCATTACTGCAAGGGGAAAGCAACACACAACCCTTTTGAGTAACCTCCTCAAGGCCTGGTCTGCTGTCTACTCACTGATGACACCTTGAGCAAAACTGGGTGGGTTTGGACGCGCCTGTGCTGGGTCACTGCTCCGTTCCTGAAAGGGATTTGAAAAAATCAGAATACCTACATTTTCATACCTGCTGTGGTTTCCCCCTGTTCCCACTACAATCCAGATCAATCCCCACCCAACCCATAAACTCCAAATGCCAGTTTCAAACACATTCATGATCTGTTACCTCAGAAAACCAACTCTCAACCCATGAATAAAAAAGTTGAATAATGGCAATCTACATGACTTGCCAGACAACTACTGCTCACCTGTCCTCCAGGCCCAGGCAAGACATGATTCTGTACTTCAGATGAAGAGGAAGCTCCAGACAGTCTTTGAGCCAGGAGGGAGACTTGTTGCCTGAAAGGAGAAATTATGTGGACCAGAGAAAAAAATTTGATAAGAGAGGGGCAGAATGAAAGCATCAAGCCAATATTGACTTAGCAGACCAACTTCAGAAAGAGGTAACACAGAAACAAACCAAAGAAAGAGTGCCTACCGAACACTGCCAGTAGGCAGTTGCAATGGGAGTGAGAAGAGTCAGCATCCCAAGAACTTATAATGCCCTTTACAATAAATAACCAATGTGCTTTCCTCTGGGTTGGTAGTGACAGGAAAAATACACACAACTACGGATATATCCAAGCCTCTGGAAGAATTTGACAAGGTGGGGGCAGCTGACCATTGAATCCTTAATAATATCCTGGAACACCCTCTTACCACATCACCACCCAGCAGATGTCATCTAGAGGGACACCATGCGGAAAGGCTTGAAACACAGCCTTTGCCCAGACTGAATGGGCCTCGGCTTGTTATTGGGGCTGACAACCAGAAAGTTGATAGGCTAGACGAACAGTTGCGGTGATCCAAGAAGAAAAGCATTGTGAGGTGACTGGTTGACCTAGAGCATTGCTGTGGTATTTAAGGGAGAGTTTTGGCGATTTCCTGTGTGGTGATGTCATGTGGACATGGAAGGCTAGCACTCTCCTCACATCCAAGGAGTGAAGAGCCACTTCCAGGGCTAAGGAGAGATTCTGAAAGAAGGCTGGCAGAGTAATGTCCTGGCACATGTGGAAGTGGGAAACTACTTTAAGTAGGAAGATAAAATACGTACAGAGAACCACCTTATCTTTGTGACATCTGTCAAAGAGAAGGTGGGCTTATTGCAGTTTCATGATTGGGAGTTTGTGATCTCCTGAGAGCATCAGCTAGCATGTTTTGCTCTCCTAGAATGTGAAGCACAAAGAAGTATATCCCTGAAGGGATACACCAATGTGACCTTGTGCAAGTGTGACCCTCCCTGCTTGATTATGCAGTATTTCGCTGTGGTGTTGTTCGTGAGGAATGATATCACTTTGCGTTGTAATGGGATTTTGAAGGTTCGTAGATCTTTCCATACCATCAAGAGCTCAAAAAGTTACAGTAATGTTACAGAAATGGTCCATTAGGGCCCACAGGCCTTGTACTGCCAGATTGCCAAAGTGAGTATCCCAGCCTTCAGGAGAGGCATCTGTCATGAGACAGAGGGATGGACATGCTTGTCTGAAGGGAACCCCTACTCTGACATTGAACAGCTTCATCCACCACCTGAAGAAGTGGTAAACTTTGCGAGGGGTGTCGGTTGAGTTCTCAGCATCGTGGCAGAGGTTGAAGGAACTGAGTAGCCAGCTCTGCAGGGGGCACATTTGTAAATGTACTAAGGGGGTTACAACCATGATGGAGGTCATGTGGCCCAGGATGGACTGGATCTCTTTTGCTGATCCATACTCCCAAGCACAGAGGCAGACTGAGGGGTTCAAAAGTGGTCTTCTGGTAGATATGCCATCTCTGTTATGGAGTCTAGCATGACTCCAATGAATCGGATGCATTGTTTAGGCTTCAGGTGAGACTTCTTGTTGTTTACAAGATACAATGTCTGCAGAAGATATAAGGTAGTCTACATTAGTGAGGAGCCAGTGCATGGAGCTGGCCATAATGCGCCAGTCATCAATATAATGGTAGACAGATATGCAGCACTGGCCCAGGTAAGCGGCTACCGCTGCCATGCACTTTGTCAAAAGAAGGGGGTAGCAAATAACATGAGGAAAGAACGCTGCAACTGTAAAAATGATGCCTGGCTTGGCGAATGAAGGCAACAGCTGTTGCCAGAAGTTTGCCCAAAGAATCAGCCTGCTTGAAGGCTTTTACAATGCCTGGCTCCTCAGAAGAAAGGTGATCGAGGTATGGGGTTATCTTACCCAGTTAATTTTGATAGATCCCCATGTATAATGCATCAGTCTTTTGAAAGACAGGCAGAGAAATAGACATTTTTGCCCATGGCATTCAGTTTCTTCTTTGTGCTGTCTGTGAAATGTGCACATGTGGGTTTCCCTGTGCACGCGCAACAGCTTTGGAACATTCTAGCTTCTAAATAGAATTTTGGCGGAGCCCCGCCCATCCTCCCAATAGTATATAAGCCCATGGGCGGGGCTACGCCTTAGTTCCTTTTTCTGCGCCTGCAGCGGCACAGGTACTTTAAACTCTCAAGACTTTCCTAACAACTATTGGACTTACCCTTTATTTTGACCTCGGACTCCCTGACAACTCTCCTTCCACCAATCCTAACTACGGATTGGCTAAAGGACAGATAGAACTACTATGTCTACTATTTTCTTTAAAATATGCTTGGCATACGGGGAAAACCTCCCCAAAGCCGATAGGCACTTAAAATGTCTCCTTTGCCTGGGCGAGTCACGCAATCCCCAAACGTGTGGCGTTTGCAGAGCCTTTACTACTCTTGCTCAAAAGAGCATAGACTCTAGCCTCAAAGCCCGGCTTTATGAGCAAGCTTTAGCCCACGGACGAACCTTGGCTTTCCCAACCCTTGGTTGCCCAGACTTTACTCCCTTCCACCCACGGAGACCAAACAGTCCAGTCTCCAATGGAGCAAAATACTCATGCCTCGAACCTTGGTTCCTCCACTGAGGTGCTGCGTAAAAAGACAAAGCCATCCAAGCAGACTTCCCACCGATCAAAACAAAAATCAAAAGAGAAACAAACCAAATTGCAGGGACAGCAACCAGACCTTGAGTCTCCCACGCTTGAGCTCCCGTCTCAACCTATCCAACTTCTTCAGAGTGGGCGTGACCAATCTTCCTTTCTGGAGATTGAGGATCCGCCTCAACTCCTCCTGTTTGAACTTCTCACTGCCCAGCTCAATACTAAACAGGAAAAGCCTCCAACCCCCCAGATTCTCTTCCCTCCCTCCCTCCAGCACAACTACCTCTCTCTCAAACCCTCCCTCCCTAGTACCGGAGCAGACCTTGTAGCCGCCCAAGAACTGCACTTCCCACCCTAGGCGGTCTCCACAGTACAGGAGACACTCCCCCTCTCCCTCCCAGTCCTGATCCAGGAGCCCTTCACGCTCCTCCTCAAGGTATATAGGGCGCCCTTTGGACCCTCGCTACCATTATCTTTATGACTGTCCTTTTCCTGTTTACCCTCTTCCTTTTCCCTTTTATCCGGACTTTTATCCACCAGGAGACCCATATTGCTCCCAATCCCCTCCTGGATCTTTCCCTCCTCAACATCCTCACCACCCCTCCTCCTCCATGGCAGGTCCCCTCTTCTCCTGTCTCTCCTTCTCCCCAAACTCCACCTCCACCTCCACCTCTATCTACCCCTCCCCTCAGGACCACTATCCTGAGGACACCACTATTGACCTTGATTCCTCCTCTGACTTACCATCCTCAATGCCAACCCCCTCAGACCCTGATCCTGACCTCCAGCCAGAAGATTTTAAAACTTTTCAGCTTTACTAATCAGACCCTCCAGGGCTCTGAATATCACCCCTGCTCAATCAACCGATGTGGTTCAAGACCCTTATTTTTTCTCTGCTGAACAACAGCCTCACCTCTCCACCTCCCTCCCCACAGTACCCTACCTTCTCAAGCTACTGAAAACTACAGGTATAGCCCCAGGGCTAGTTTCAGCTACCCCCAAACAGGCAGAAAACTTATAACATATTGACTTGTCTTCTGCCTTCTGCCTTGCCAAATTGCCTAATGCAAATTCTATTGTTACTGATGCTCAACCAAAACCAATACAAAGAAACCAGTCATCTCCTTCTGACAAAGAAGGAAACTTGACACCATGGCCAAAAAACTTTATTCCTCAGCATGCCTTTTCGCTCATATCGCTCATTATGGCGTTTACCTGAACGTATACCAAACCTTTCTCTGGAATAAACGGGGCCCTTACTTTGATCTGTTACCACCAATCAATCAGGCACTGGCAAAAGCATTCAGACAAGAGGCCCTTCTCTTATCCAATCTTCAAAAAGACTTTGCAAAGAACACAGCAGACTCCTCGGGCAAACTCATCACACGAGCGATCGCCCTAAGGCGACACACCTGGCTTAGGTCCTCTACACTTTCCCCCTCTCAATGTTCTTTGATTGAAGACTTGCCTATGGACGAAACGAGCCTCTTTAATCTAGAGACCGACTCTGGACACTCTCATAAAACGAAACAGACTGTTATCAGATATGGTCAACAACCATACCAACCCTACCAGCGCCAGAGGTGGGTACCATATTATCATTTTCCCCAATCCTTTCGGGGACACTACAACTCTCCTTCCTACAGAGGAAAACAACAACCCCAATAAACTACTCCGCCACCCAAGCAACCACTACTTCCGTTTAAGGTCAGTACCAGAGTTCTAAGCCACCGGACAACAAAAACCGGCATTTTGAGCACCACTTTACCTCAACATCATCCATCCTGCCCACTCATACTTGGACAGACTTCACCCCTTCCTTCCTCAATGGCAGTCCATAATTATGGACTCCTAGGTCCTTGATATTATAGATAAGGGATATGCCATAGAATTTCACTCCCTTCTCCCCCCCCCCGGAAGATCCTCCCAATCCAATCATCATCCACGATTCATTCTCTCCTACTCAAAGGAACCATATCCCCCACCCCATCTCACCAGCTACATTCCTGGTGAGATACTTCCTTGTTGACAAGCGTGATGGGGAGCCTGGTTAGCTACCATTGATCTCCAAGACGCATACTTCCATATCGCCATCAGAGAATCCCACCGAAAGTATCTTGCCTTCACCATTGATAATTTCTCTTTGTTAAAAAATGTTTTACACTTTGACCTCTCTACCACCCACAAGGTATTTATTAAATGCATGGCAGTGGTCGCCTTTCACCTTTGCCAATGCAGCTTTACTGCTTTTCCTTATTTAGATGATTGGTTATTTTCATCCAGTTCTCGCACCCAGCTGTCCTGATATCCATTACACTTTATCTTTCTTACAGAATCTCGGCCTTGTTGTCAACTTCGAGAAGTCCCACCTGGAATCCACC